GATGTCTTGGATGGCCCCAGACATCAAACATATCTTGCGTACCTCGGTGAAGGGAAAGAATCTTGAACTATGTAAAAGATTCAGTAACCCGTACCATGTATACCTGCATCTTGACCAGCCGAATGGCGCCACCCCCTGAACAATGCGCACACCGTCCCATAGGTACTTCAACATAATACCCATGGGGGGATGCCCTGAAACTATGTCCTCCACGTCAGGCGCCAAAAAGGAGATTGGGCGCTTGACTTCGTGGGGATGACTATCTTTCTGCTTCTTTGCAGTGGCCTACCGGTCTGAGTGGATGCTATTTCGGACTCGGGTTGCAAGGTGGGCGGTTAACCACCGTGGGCTATCCTTCGAGCGAACCATGTGAAGTCGAGTGACGAGGCGGCGGCAGGAATCCATATGAACAAGCTCATACATACTAGCTCATGCAGACTGGCTCATACAAATATACTCATACAGATCAGGCCCCTCGACCTTGCATAGTCCAGCCACAGGTATCCATGAAAGGTTTACGTCTCGGTAGGAACCATAACCGACCGACGAAATATCTGTTCCAAGTCGCAATGGATGGGGGGGAGACATCCCAGTGCCACATGTATGCTGTCACATCAAACGGGACTATACAGCAAGAAAGAACAACCAGCCGTTGTAACTATTGCATCATGGCATCAACCTCGTCCATCTACCCAAAGAGCATCTACCTTCATTGTCATATCAGCATGCTCTGCCCCCGCGCTCCTCGCCCAAGCCCACGACGGGCAAAACAAGATGTCCGTCGGTATTATCCTCTTCTTGCAAAGGCATAGTGCTCTGCACTCATGCGGCAGACCTACACCTTGGGGTGGGGACGGCAAGGGCTTGGCTAGGGGGGACTCGCGTAGGGGCAGTGACAGGTTCCTCTCAGATGTCAATTCACATCATGTTACTTTAGTCACACATGCTGAAGATCAAGCCCCAAACGCCATTCGCCGCCCAGACTCAAACAAGCCAACCGTCCTGTTGAACACCAACCAATGTGAGAACGCCCTGGAAAGAAGTTAAGAAGCACAACGAGATCGCTCTCAGTTAGCCTCAAACTCCTTCTGCAGGTAGACGCAAGACACCATGGCGTGGTCACGCTCGTACGGCTCTGTAGACATCATTAGTGAAAACGCCCAAAACTTAGGGCCAGCATGATGATGAGTACTCACCAAGAGTAAGCTGTTCCTTAGGGAAGAACTTGTCCTCACGGAGTTTCTGGACTTCGCTGGCAAACACCTGCTCAGGGGGGGCTAGGAAAGGTCAGCGAGTATCAAGTTAAGTAGCCATCGCCGGGGACTTACCGGTGCTGTCAATGCAGCTAGCCTTGATGGAGATGAGGAGGCCACCACCCTGCTTCAAGAACAGCTTTGCGTTGATACCGACAATTCTGGCCTGATCGGGCTGGGCAACATCGGCAAAGACGACGTCGACCATCGGGAGAAGCATACGGTAAGCCATCGGCTTACGGGCGTCCTCAACGATCCTATTCAAATGTAAGTCAGACCAATACGCGCCTGGGTGCCGTAACAGCGTTGCTTACGGGATGACGTTGGTACGGCGGGTCTATTAAGTTGTCAGTGTCTTGAAGAGTAATGGACTGAGAGTCGGTTGACATACCGCCATGTTGATAAGATCTCTGCCGGAACGGTGCGAGAATTCAACGGCCTAGGCGTATCGTTAGTGACCGGACGGCACAAGCAGGAGTAACGGCGGCATACATAAACAGCGCCTGTTGGCCCGACAATATCGGCAACGTGAGACACCGAGGTACCGGAGGCAGCACCGAGGTAGAGCACCTTCGAGCCGGGCTTCATGTAGATCGTCTCCAGGCCACCGAGGATACCAGCGGCAAGCTTACTCCGGCTGCTTTACGTCAGTGTGTGTACTACCGTGATGAAGGTGAAGTTGACTGACAAAGGATTCCAAATCTACAAGGTGCCCGTTAGCTCATGCTTCAAATATCCCAGTTGGCCTAGGGAAAATGTGAGGATACTTACGCGGTACTCGGTCTTCGTAGCAACAGCGTCGTCACCCTTGTTGGCGTTCTCGACAGAGATTCTCTTCTCGCCGTACACCGACTCGCCGGGAACCAGGTTGGTGGTGGCAAGCAGATCCTCCTTTCCACCGCGGGCAACGAAGACGCCCTTGTGACGATGGGGCTCGACGATAACCTTCTTGCCGCCCTTTGCCCCTCCCGGGCCACCACCCCGACCACCACGGCCGCCGCCACGAGGACTAATCCAGAGTATTAGCAAAACCAGACGATTGGCTCGTCGGCAACAACACAACATACGCTCCGCGGCCACCACGACCACCACCGCGCCCGCCGGGACCACCACGACCGCCGCCGAAACCTGGAAAAAACTTAGTTAGCAAACGTCTCTTATCCGTGCGCGCGGGGTCACAAGAGTGGCGCGATTGAGGTCGGCGATGCTTAGGAGGGACAAAATGAAGTGGCACCCTTATGAAAACACAGAGGCTTGATAAAGAGATAGTCGCGACTTACCACCACGGCCGCCGCCTCTCGCGCCGCCACGACCACCGCGATCACCGCCGCGGAAGCCGCCTCCCCTGCCGCCGCCTCTTCCACCACGGTCGAAACCCATTTTGAATGTTAAGTCGGAAGGGAAGGGATCGAATTGATTCCGATTGTACTCGACGTAGTCGGGTTGATAAAGTGCACCAACAATCCCTTAGGACACAATGGGTGCAGATTCGCGGTCTTGTCGAAGTCGTTCAGGAAGCTTGATGGAGCTGGATGCAAAATTTCCTAAACTTTCAGAAAAAAAAGCGGGGGCCGTTCTTGGCTCTGGGCCTTCGGTCGGCTGGGGATTTCTCCGACAATCTGATAGGCCAGTTTCGAATAGTCTTGGCAGTTGTTTCTTGCTCTAACACATAATGGCATAATTTTGGTGGAAAGAAGTTACCGGCCCTAGCAGCTGACCCCGGCCCGGCGCCGTTCTGAATTGTTGCCTCAGGCATAATTCGTGCCGCACAAGCCAATCAGCCGTAACCCACAGAGCCCTAATCGCGAAAATCGCACTTGCGCCAAAATTTGGAACAACCACCATTTCTGAACTCCAAACTCGGTCGATTCCGCCCTCACGTCGACAAACAGTCAAGATGGTCAGTAACCTTTGAAAATCCGAACCATTCACGGTCGCTCCGAAATCCGATGCACTGGGGAATCTCTCCCGCTCAAATTGCGGGTATTGGAGGGGCCGAATGTTGGATCGAGCTGGAGACGGTCGAGAAGCGTACGGACAAGGCTGACCGGTGCATTGGCGATTTCTAGGTTCGGTACGCCGCGACTGAGATTGCGCCCGCGAAGTCGGCTCGCTCCCGCGGGTCGTACCTCCGGGTCTCGTTCAAGAACACCCGCGAGACCGCCCAGGCGATCAACGGCTGGAAGCTCCAGCGCGCCCAGGCTTTCCTCGAGAATGTCTGCGAGAAGAAGGAGGCCGTCCCCATGAGGCGCTACTGCGGCTCGATCGGCCGGACCGCCCAAGGTACGATTTGAGAACACGAACCCCGTCGATAGCCCCGGTAATCGATATGGTGTTGGGAAACGGGGCTGCAAAGCCATATATACAACCGAGCGGAAAATCCATGTCGAGTCGGCCCAGGCATTAAGAGATAGTGCTGACTGTGATGGAAAATAGGCAAGCAGTTTGGTGTCACCCGCGCCCGCTGGCCCGTCAAGTCCGCCGAGTTCCTTCTGGGTCTCCTCAAGAACGCCGAGTCCAACGCCGATGCCAAGGGCCTTGACACCGGCAACCTGATCGTCAAGCACATCCAGGTCAACCAGGCTCCCAAGCAGCGCCGCCGCACATACCGCGCCCACGGTCGCGTACGTTCTCCGATGCCCTAGCATGCATTGTTTCGAAATCCGAAAGACTAACGTCTTGCACAGATCAACCCCTACATGTCGAACCCCTGCCACATCGAGTTGATCCTCACCGAGGCCGAGGAGGCGATCCAGAAGTCGGAGGCTGTTGTTCGCGACGAGCACCTTACCTCGAGGCAGCGCGGTGTCCGCGTCCGCCGGGCTATCACCGCTGCTTAAGTCGGGGGCTGTTGGTTGATGGGGACACGGGGGATCTTTTTGACTGGGCTTGACTTTCTTCCGGAACGGTGTACGCGAGCATGGCATTTTTTCGGGTCAAGGCTACGATTCCACAAAAAAAGGAGTCGGTCACGAACACTCAATAAAGAAACATTGAGGACCATAATGGTGCACGCGGAGCCGGATGGGGATACATGGGCGCTAAACCGAATATCACTGCTTTGACTCGACTGCCGCCGCGACGCGCCGCTTCGATGATAGAGGAAGAGATATGCCATTCTAGTCAGTCCAGCCTCGAGCGTGTGCTGGTGAATTGTTCTCTAGGCCAATATGTATCAAGAATTGCCCGCCTAGCGGCCGAATGACCGAAGGAGATCTCCGAGGTGGTGATGTCACCTCACTGATCGTCTCTTAAAAACCTATCGCCCAATGCAGGGTCTCCTGGGCCATTTCACCTCATGCCAAAGGATTGCCATCTTGATCATCATGCTCATCGACTTTCTTTTTATTCATATGTGCTCGTTATCATCGCGGCATGACGGAGCAATAAAAAGGCTGTGCTCCTCTCCATGCTACCCAGCCATCTCCACATCTCCCCCTCCCCCGCCACCAGCCCCCTTCTTCCGCTCCTCCGCCCTCTTGAGCATCTTCTGCTTCCCCTGCTCCACCCACGTCTCGTACGCGCCGCCGCCCTCCTTCAACTTGGCAGCGACAACGCCCTTGAGCACCTCGCCGGCGAAGCCGACAAAGTTGTGGCGGCGCAGGGCGTTCTCGAACTGCCAGTCGCGGCGTTTGCGCTCCTCGCGCGCGAGCATCTCCGGGTCGCCGATCTCGCGCGCCCGCACCCGCAGGTCGCGCACCATGGCCAGCAGGTTGAAGCGGATCTCGGCCGCGTCGTACCGCGCCACCCGCCGCTGCAGCACCTCCATCACCCGCGCGGGGAACCCGGCCTCCCCCCCCTCCTGCCCCGGCCCGCCGCACGGCCCGTGGCTGATGGGCGCCCGCTGCAGGCCGTCCAGCTCGTACAGCGTGCCGTTGACGGCGGTGTAGGCCACGAAGTGGAAGGCGTCCTCGCCCTCGTCGCCGGCCTGGCGCTGGGTCTCGTCGGCGAAGGGGGAGGAGCGCGCGAAGCTGTTGTGCACGTCGCGGATCAGCTCGCTGTTGGAGAGGGCCTCGCCGCGGTACTCGGGCGGCAGCGCCATGGTGAAGTCGCGGAAGTCGGTGAGCGTCGGCCCGATGTTGATGGTCTCGTCGGGCGGGGTGGTGCCGTCGGGGGTCTTGTTGAGCAGGACGCTGAGCAGGGCCTGCGTGCCGCAGGCGTTCTGGATGGTCTGCGCGGCGAAGAAGAGGCGCTCCGAGGCATCTTCGTCAAAGGTGCCGTCGAGGGGCTTGTCGCCGGCGTGGTAGGGAGTGTCGGTGGGGAACTTGAAGAGGAAGATGACGCCGTAGACCGGGTACAGCTGCGCGAGGGCGTCGGGGTCGAGGGAGAGGAGCTCCTCGAACTGGACGTCTTTTACGCCAAGGTTGTCGAGGAGGTAGGTAAAAACGCCCTGGAGCTACTGGTCAGCCAGCAGGTCCGTGATTGATTCGAGCTGTCTCCTGTGCGCTATCGCCTGCTAGGGGCCAAGGTCTTGTGCTGTGGGAGCAACATACAGCATCGGACTCGACTATGATTCGTTGGTCAGCGGTTCAGCTCGTCAGGATCATGCGACTGAAGCCTACTGGTATTCCAACCACCACTCATCTTGGAGGCTCTAACTGCACTGCAGTTTGGTCTGGAATTGAGTTTGCCCGTCCCTGAGTTATGCCACTGTGGTGAATGCAGATCCACGCTTGAATTGAAAAGATTTAGGAATTCACGTTTTTTTTTCCAAACGGGAGAAAGACAGAGTGCTGGATTTGAGCCGTGCCCAAGGTCGACGCTTTCACTCACGGCCCGAATTTCAGGGTCGATGATGCAAGTCCCCAGCTGCCTGTCAGATAAGATAGGAAAGCAAACAGGTCCTGAGCTTGTGCCCCTCGCTGCCAGCTGTCTCTCAGCTGCCTGCCAAGCCTTCGCCAAACATCAACAAAAGGGGTTTCTCAACAGACCCCAGCAACCACAGATCTGGGTTTCCACAAGCCGGTTGTTTTCCCCAGCTTCCCCTTCGGTTTGTTCGTCGTGCGAGGGGACATTGGCTTGGAAATTCTTAGACGAGACATGTACAGAATAAAGCGTTACTCGCTATAAATAGCTAAGCCAGATCGATAGTTATACATACAAGCCATCCTCCCAAGCAATGAAAAGAAGAATTACCAAACACCAACCCCTGTCTCATCAGTTATTTCCTTCGTGCCATACCAGCGTGGATTATCTCTGCTGCTCAAGGCGTTGCTTAAGCTTTCAGAGAGCTCTCACCCCCTCACGCAGTAAATATCTCAGTCCCTAGTCGTGCCATCTTCCTGGGTGATAATATGCAGCGGGACAGCTACTACACAGGCGCGGGGTGATCAAAACATCCGACGCATCGGCTCAGGTGTTGAGATCCTTTGTATGTGGTCAGACTTTGACGTGTCGGACCTATACTGCTCGGTGCTCATGGCATCATCCCGCGAATTGAGGGAGAGGGAGGCGTCTCGATCCTTTTTGTACCTAGCCCAGTCGATGCATCGAACAATGGCTCTGGCCATCCACGGTTTGTCTCCAGGAGGCCGCCAAGACCAATACTCCTTCAAGTCGTAGTTCTGTGGGGTGATGGTATCCCCGGAGACCTTGACGACAATGTGGATGGCACCATTGATGATAACGTACGCAAAAATCCCACTATACAAAGACTTCTTAGCCGGTGAGAAAGTAGAAACTAGGATGTGGTCAACTCACGCGATCAGCCCGTAGGCAACGCTGAAGCTGAACGGGATGAAGGCCAGGGTGATGAAGGATGGTATGGCGTCGCCGACATATGCCCAGTTGATTTTGGTGACCTGGCGGATCATCATGCAACCAACCTAGGAACCCGCAGTTAGCCACATTTGGACAAGGAATACTGCTCCTTCAAAGGAACTTACCAAAATCAGTGTGCTCCCACTCGCCCAGGGCGGGATGGAGGCAAATATTGGGGCAAAAAACAGAGAGATGAAGAAACAAATGCCAGTAGAAACAGATGTTAGGCCAGTCCGGCCTCCCTCCGAGATGCCAGCGCTACTCTCAATGAAAGCAGTTACTGGAGACAATCCAAGCAGCGAGCCCATAGAAATGCAGAAGGCATCGACACAAAATGCCATTGTCGACCGGGGGAAGTCGGCCTTGTCTTTCCGGGCTCTGCTGCAGAACCGAGCCATCGAGTAAACTGTCGCAGTGCAGTCGATGATGTCCACATAAAGAAATGTAAACAGGGCAATCGCAACATGTGTCCCCGCCTCACCTGTCAGGTCCCATTGCTGCTGGAGCAACGTGCGTTGAATTGGGTGGAAGCTGACAACCTTGGAAAAGTAACTGAACCGCTCGTCGCCGTCAGGGGTATTGGGAAAGTGAGTCAAGGGTGTGTTGCGTCTGGGAAAGATGTGAGTTGTTGTTGAGTAATGTAAATGAAAGACGAATGAGGTACTCACGGCCATGAGAGAATGGAAACAAAGGCGATGCCAATGATAATGGCTCCTTTGACGCGAAATGCCATCAAGAAGGAGGTAAGCAAACCACCACAGATAATGCCCACCCACATCTGTTGTGACAAGTCAGTGCCAAACTCTTAGCTCGCCAATGACAATAGTACCATACCTTTGGGCTTGACATAATTCCCGATTCACACTCTCCAACTTCGTTGAGATCCTCGGCTGGGCAGCCGCCTATGGTGAGTGGTGTACCAATGCCACCCGTGACCATGCCGAGGCCAGAGGTGTACGACATGCCGATGAGGGTCAAGAACAATCCGATTCCTACACCGCTTGCAATCTTGATTGTGCCTGGGATGATCTTGACCAGCCAGTGCCGCAAGCCTGTCAGAGCCAGGAACATAAAGATCCAGCCCTCGATGAAGACAGCAGTGAGAGCCACCCGATAGTGGATTGGTCCCGTGCCCTTGACACCTATGACCTGGTAGGTAAAGTAGGCATTGAGGCCCATGCCAGGACTGTGTTTGGTGTTAGCAAGACTCAATCAGGACTTGCAATCCCAAACTTACCCGAGGGCGACCGGCAGATTTGTGAAAACACCGAAGAGGATGCTGGAGAAACCGGCTATGGCAGTGGTGCCAGTAATGAGGTCGAGTTTGAGAACTGATTTGGGTTTCCCTCATCAGTGGTCCATACCAAATAGTATCCCGGAAACCGTTAACCAACCGTTGTAACATTGAGTCCATTCGGCACCATTGGCGCAGTTCCCTTGCAGGTCGAAGTGGCCTTTTTCACAGGGGCAATTAAACCCCCCCTCTGCCAGAATGAAGGCCTGTAGATATAGTCAAGTGAATCTAGCAATAGAGATACTCGGTGCTGGAAGGGAAGCCCATACATTTACGGCAATGACATATGCCATGGTTGTGAAAGTTGTGATGCCCTTGCCAAACACTGTCAGCGACAAGATCACGCATGGCATTTTGGGGAGCCATCGTGGTCCCATTACAGCCAGAAATAATCCCCAAACATTGAAGATACATACCGCGCGGATTTCGGTTGAGAAGTAAGCATCCTCAATTTCCTTGGGCTATTATGAAGGATGTGTCAGAAGGTTTTCGGCTCCGTTGACGGAGGGGACTACTGCTTACATGGCCGCATCCTCTAAGTCGAAACAGCTGGCCAACAGGTGACTTGCTCACTCTATTGTCCATGCGCAGGACGAGGTGTGAGATGGAATTTCTCATTCGTTTGAACCAGTTTGGGCGGTTGTGATGCGGGATTTGGCCAGCAGTGCTCGGCATGGCAGGAGGCACTGGTCGCATTTCGATCTCCTCACTGTGAGTGTCAGTACTACTCGCCATTTGAAACAGACGCTGGGAACTGGAATGAAGAAAGTGGAGGGGGGAGGGAGGGGGGATAAAGAATGAATAAGAGTCGTGCAAGTCATTGAGGACTTGCATACAACTCGTGGGGCCAGTCACATAATTCATGCCGGCAATGGTCGCACTACAGCGCACATCATCCAGACCTTCTTCTCTGCAATAAGGTTTTACGGAAGGCGGCAGATCCGTGCATAATTTGGCAAGGGACAAGGAGACAAGGATAGACGGGAGCGAAAAGACCGACTTACGTTGTGAGGAGAGGGCTCGGAGAAGACTTCCCCAGCTTGAGGAAACGCCGGAGCATCGTGATGATGTTGGTTTGTTTCCAATTTGATTGAGCTGGTAAATGAATGTAAAAATCTCAAATAAAACCGGCGAGATCCGAAGATTCAGGAGATCCAAGTCAAGGTTGTGAAAGAGATGGGTTGTTTGTGTGTGGCTAAGATGGTCGGTTCAGAAAGAGGAAGATTAAGCAAATGGCGCGGAGTATCAACCTAACGCTAGGATTTCTCTAAATGATTTGTTCTGTGCGGGGAATCTAGGACGGATAATTGAGAACCTTAATGAACTGGGGCCCTAGGTAGAAGGCAGGAAACCGAAAAGGTTCCAAGATTCAAGTTCAAGTCAAGACGGAAGGTGCGATTCTGAACGGCATGGCAGGCACGTTGCCCCCATCCAGTAAGCTGGAGATACATTCACACAAATCCCTTGCTGTAAATTTAATGTAGTGTTCCGCATATGAAGATTTGGGTGATTTGGTTGCTGGTTGGGCATCATAACGTCGTAGATTCAGGTTAGGACAATGACAATCTGTATTCTTCAGTTCCCTATCCGAGGTCGGATAACTAGAAACCACATAGATTCCCTTACTCTAGTGCGCAAAATGGTAAACCTCAAATCAGAAACCAACTCTGGTTTACACATGGAACCATCTCAAACTTTCACCGACCTAACCAGGTGGGGGGGGAGGGTAGTCTTCAGCAATCGAGGCAAGGACATGTCAAAGTGCTATGTATCCACGATCCTAGTCCCCTGGCGCTCCCTCGGCCCCAAGGAAAAGCCTGAGGCTTGGTGGCACCGACTGAGCTGCTGTGCTGCCCAACTCCGGATGGCGGGACCAGGGAAAATTCGACCAGGCGCAGGGGGAAGTGAAACGGAACCCAGCTATATAACATTTAATAGCCTTATGCGCTCATGGTTAGGCTCCATTCCTTAATTACTCCAGACACTAGATGGGCAAGACATCAATCAAGTAAACAAGGGTCCAGTATGAATCGATTTGGGCACAGGCAGTGTTGATGGCCTGGCGCTGCGTCTACCTTTTCAGCGCCGGTACTTTTGTGCTCCCGTCTGGTGGTGACAGCCACCGACCATCCGATCTGTCAGGTTCGCCGAGATGCAAGTTTCCTCCTGTTTGTAAGACAGTCGAGCCTCTCGGTGTCCTTAAAATGCTAAGTCGAGGCACCGAGGGTACACGATGCAACACATGGCAGGCGGGCCGAAGAGGGGCAAGTTGAGCCAACAGGGCCTTTGCCGCAGGGCCGTAGACTCGGAACTCACCTCAACCCGAGTTCGGTAAGGAAACTGTCCACCGGAGAAGGACAAGGTTCCTCTTCGGGTTTCCACCTCATGCCGTGTTCCTCAAACCACATATTTCCCGGTTAGGCATAGATCCCGCCATTTACTTTCGCAATATGCGTCGGATACAATTAACAAGAAGTGAGGGTAAAACACGGGGTATCTGAGGAAAGCAATTGATAGGAGTGCCGCACATTACGCATCCATTTTGCAGGAGAGGTACTGCAGGGAGTGACGCGGTCGGCAACGGGTAGTCCCAGCTCCAGATTTCCGCCGGAGATACTACTTTTGGTTAGCGCGGTGCCGAGGGCCCAGCCGCGACCAGGCCCCATCGTTCTTGGCAGGGCAGAGGTATGTGGGTCTCAAGCTCTCAAAAAGAACGTCCCTCTTCTAGCGACATTGAAAATCGAGAGCGCTTGGGTGTACATCATAGTGTGGTGGATTTAACTTGGAAGGTTTAGCCAGGTTGGTACTATCTTCCGGATTTTCGTGTAACTCGCGACACAGCGCAGGCAGTAACACCTTTTAATCTAACCTCGGCCCTTAATGTCGGGGTCAAAATGGGAAGGTTGTACATTGAGGAATAAATCTGGGACAAACAAGCTTCCTAGATGCGCTTGTTGTGGCAAGGGGATTGTGGAATAGCATACTAATATGTAGCTATGATCAGGAGTTGTCGATCTTGCTGACAGTTGTTGGACAAATTACTGTAGGCATCTGGCCTACGCAAGAGGTTCTCGTTCTTAACATATTATCCTAACATACCAGCCGGGTAACTGATATTGCCTGGTAGGTAGGTAGTCGCTCGGTATTTGGTCGGGAAGCGGCCTTGTGAAACCACGCCTCCCAAGTTTCGCACCAATTGCTGCTCAACGTGGAACCCTGCCGGGAGGAGCCGCCTGCAAGACCGTTGCAACGACCAGCGGACAAGTGAGACGTGATGATGTGCGGCTCCAGCTCAAGATAATAGCCCCAGCCAAGGATTTGTAGGTTTTAAGCGCGCTACCTTAGACAGATTTGGCCACCTCTCTATTGGAACCACATATTCTGGTGAGGGTTTTTCAGGGTTGTCTGAACACTTACTTGTCTTGCCATCTGCGCTTTACAGGGATATTTAACTTGGCTGGGGGGCGGAAAGCTGAACCTCGAAACCATCAAATTGCAGGCTAACGGCCGAGACCGCTCTGGCACTTTAAGGTAGTGCAGAGGCCTCTCACTCTCGCCATTTTAGTTTAGTAGATAGGCACCTTATCTGAGAGGAGAGACAAACTAGTGTTGTCCCCTCTTCTTGGTTTAGCCAGCTAAATCGTTATATATGGTCAGTAAATGGAATAAAAGTTTGCCCGCTAGAGGAGTAAGGAGCGGGAAGGAGCGGGCATGCCCACGGGTGCGGCCCTTCACGATTTCCGGGTTAACCTCGACCACGTGTGCTTGCCCTATATGGAAACAAATGGCCTTACCGTGACAATGACAGCGTTGGTTAGTGATGATCAGTGAGTTTGAGTGCCTCACTTCCTGTTCAAGTCTCATCAAAAATCTTAATCACGAACTGCGGGTTTCTTTTCACTCAGCTTTGTGTCTTTGGTGCCATAGTGGTCAGCTTGAAAGCGAGGCATACCCTTTTCATTCTTTTAATCACAGCCGTTCTCTCGGTGCGAACATCTACTGACCCCAGATTGGCCATTCTCCTAAAATCGCAAATTCAGGCTGCGCCCGATTCATCTCTACGATTTACTCTTTCACATCACCAACGTTCTCTTCTAAAAGCCAGCAAGCCCTGGTATTTTCCGTCTCGCAGAAACCTTCCACGAGTTTTCCTAGTCATTGAGTGGAGAGTCATGATCAATGGCCGTATTTTTCGTTACACTCGGTCAAAATGTTTGAAGTCGACTGGCAGGATTACGGCTGCGAGCGCGTAGGTCAGCGCCGAGTGAGAAAGGAAGTCGAGAAGGAACAGAAGAAGAACAATGATGCCAGCAGCGGCCACAGGACCAATTCGACACTGTCGACTCGAACGTCCAGTTCATCCGACCAGAATCATCGGAAGTTCTTTGGAAGCATTGGCAGGAAGAAACCTGCCGCTTCATTGAAGAACAATGAGCCGGAAGCCACCACACCAAAGGTCGAGTCGACCCAGGCGAATGGAACATTCAAGCGTAGCTCACTGCGCTTTTCGGGAATCACGACAACTATGATGGCACCGCCCACAGCCAACATCTCGACGGGGCTCGAGAACAAACCGCTCAATATTCAACCCTCGGGCACCTTGAGAAACATCGCCGATGCGATGCAGTCGAACTCACCGCAGTCCGCGGATCGCTCGTCAAAAGGTACCCGTACCCAAAACTTATTATCGCTGCCCTGTCAACTAATCTTGAGTTAAGAGTCCATGTTGTCCAGGATGACCCAATTGACCGTTCCCACACTGGAATCACAGGGTGACGAGCCGACAAACGATGCGACCACCGAGATTAAGCTCGTCCAGGCGCTCGACGACAAAGGCTCATCCGTCAACAAGGTCGTCACGACAACCTACGAACATGGCGAAGCCGACCCCTTCGTCTCTACTCGATCCGGAGTCGGGACACAGATCACGGCAGGCTTCAAAATCCCTCGCAAAACGGGATTGTCGCGGGCCATACACCCCGCACCCTCTCCCGCCGACGACGCCAAGTCGGCCTCTGAGCTCATCGACGACTGGTTCATAGCTCTGCACAACCCAGCAGCCCGACCGGCCCTCAAGCCCGGCCCTAACGGGACGTTCCGGAGCGGCGGCGTCCTCCTCCCGCCCAACGTCGTCCGCCGCACCCTGCCCGAGACGCCCACCCGGCAGTCCGCAAAGAACAGCGATGCCGGCTTCCTACCAGCGAGGTTGACGCCGATACGGTTCTCGGCCGACAACCCCGACGACTGGACGCCGGTGGCCCAGCGGAAGCGGGCACCCTCCGACAGTGTTCGGGCGCCGCCAGCACCCGTCGAGAACCAAGAGTCCGTGCAAGGCGAGGAGGAGGTCATGCGCCTGATGGCGGCCGACCTGAAGGACATCCACATCCAAGAGGAAGTTGCTCGCGAGAGCGGCACTGCCCGGAGCAACGCCGACACTCCTCGTGCCAAGCGGTCGGCGGGTTACGCGGTGGAACCGGGTCCTCGTTCCGCGCCAATGGAGAAGAACGCGGAGACAGTTAGGAAGAGTGGTCGGCCTGTCAGGCCGGTGATTTAAGTCAGCCGCCGAACACCTACTTTGCACATACAACGTTCTATGGGTTCAGATTGGTTGGCAATCTCAAGCCGGACATGCATGAGCATATCAGGGGTATATATGGGTAGGGGAGACAATACCGCGATGACATATGGGACTGCAAGAGGAAAGGGGGGCCGTGCTATGTGATTGAGTGGCCAGTGGCGGGGGCGACTTGATGGAGGGAAAGCCTTGGTACATATCCCAGTTCCGCCATATCCTGCAATCCTGGGTGTCACCTACGGATGACGGCGCATTGAGAAATCCCCTCGGACGTTGCAAAGACTCAGTTTTAAAGGACAGGGCAGGCAAGGTTTGAGACAGGCTCTGAACTCATGGGGAGGATCGTGGCCTTGGGCTGCCAACTGTATGTTAGAGCCGGTTAACTCCCGCAGAGGATGAGATACTCACAGCAGTCTAGGAGACTCTCGCCCGATAGCTCTCGAAAGGCGCACTGTAATCCGGGTTGTTAAGTTTGAGGGTCCGGGTGACGCTTGTGTTTATATCTAGGCAGTCCATTCCCCTCTTCATACTTCCCCCTATGTTTCGCTCGGTCTCTACTTGCCAGTGTTGCAATTATACTGAATTCACTTCATAGAAGTGCTTCCTTCCCGCTTTCCAAACGGCGGCTCTCGACGCTGGCGAGAGGGCGGTGGCAACGATGGTCCTACCAACATAAAGTGGCATCTTCACATGTGGCGAGCAGTGGTTTCTTTCTCAATCGCCACGGCCGAACAGGATACCCTAGTTTGTGTGTGTTGCACCCTCATCTCTTGACGAGCCTGGAGTCCTCGGCGGCTGGGTGTTTTGATGGACGATTTTCCTGTCGTCAACCTGACCTCGCTCGGGTCTCTTGATTACCTCCCAGTATGTACTACACTAGGAGAGCTGAGATAGAGCTAGCGTGTGCTTCCCCACACAGACGGTGCCGGTTAATATCCCTAGTGAGAAGAAAGTGCGAGGCTAAAGAGGTGTGTTGACAATCTAACGTTCTGAACGCTTTTACGCCATGACTCCCCAGGCATAACCTTCTGTTAGTTCACCTCGGGGGATTTAGTGTTAGGTAACAAAAAGCGATGGGCAGGGCCGAGCTGCGTTAGTTGTTGCCCTTCGCGGAGGCAAGTGAAGGTTTGAGTGTGGGAGTTGTATCCACCCTGGTCCTTCGTGAGGGAACAGAGTGGCAAGAGGGGGGGGTTGGCGATGGGCACAGGACAGGGAAGAGGCTGTGATCTCCAATGCAGGAAAACCCAAGCCCGGTTCGGTCCCGGTCCTCATGGGGGGAGACCGGAGCTATTACATACTGTCACTTGCGATCTTCGGCTTGTAATCACCCTTGTTGCAGCAAGCCCTGTGGGATCTGCGACTGGGAGAGTCGGGCGCAACAGCCGAATAGGTATAGTGTTACAGTCATTCCTGCGCGACTGGGAACTCTTGTGGTATCTTCCGTGAAGAGTCTGCCAGTTTTTCAGCCGGTGGGGATCCCAATCATTAGCAGACTAGGTAGTTAGGCGCCAAGATGGCTTCACAAGTGCCGAGCTATCGGGTCGACTGATGGGTTGTTGATGACCGACGGGATCTGGGGTAACTCACCACCGGTTGCGAGAGACCTGCCCCCCTCTCCAACCTGCCCCCCTTGCCCCTTCGGCAGACGCACCATGCAGGGACTCAGGGCTGGTTCGGCTCTCTGCGATGGTGGCTTTCGGCTAGTTCCGCGCACGTCCCTCCCCTTGGTTCCTGGCGTTTGGTTCTCAGCCACTGAAATCAGTGTGACGAAGTGTCACATGGCATTGAAACAAATGTCCCGGCGTGGCAGAATCACGTCAGCCTGCTGGTTCAAGGCGACGGGAGACAAGATTGGTCTGCTTTCGCATCGTCGATTTCCACGTCGTGGAAATAGACCTAGATCAATGTTTACGTTTCGGTTCATGTGGGGTAAACTAACCAAAGCTGAAAAACCATTGACGGTTCTGGGAGTTCCTTGTTTAAGCTTGCCGCCCCGCTGAGCTCTATCTTTCGGTGGGGTCACGGGTGCGCTCGAGGCGTTTTGCTGAACGGCAGGAACCCATGTGGACTCGGGCCGTTGAGGCCTGTGATGCCGGCCTGTCCCTGTCCGGTCAATTTCACGGTGGGAGTCGGCAAGCCAATAACGGTGCCGGGCAGGCTCAGACCACCCCGCACCGGTCCCGCTCAGTGTGCGGAGAGGGTGGAGTCTGGTTTTGAAGTGGTTCGAACGACTGGCGTTGAATGTTACTGGCAGTGGAGACAATAAAAAGCTTTTCAACATGCCAATCGTTGAGACGCCATGTCACCCAGTAGTGTAAGGCTGGGCGGAGCTGGCAGTGATGTGCATTCATTTTCAAAGCTTGAGAGTCGAACAAGCTTCTCCGGTGGGGCCGGAAAAGGGGGTTTTAGCATGAGGGCATTGCGGGATTTCCCCGGCGGTGTGCCGAATTGAGGCTCTGTGTCCGGTGTTTGCTTCATTGCGATTGTCGAAGAATGCAACGTCTGCTGTCGAGCAAGGACGCCTCCTCGGAATGCGGCTCACGACCGTCCTTGAACCCAGTCCGACACTAACTCCTCGCTGATCAAACTTGTGAAACAATTATCGACCACCGTCACCCCGGATCCACACGAGAGCAAGGGACCTGCCGACTCGGTTGTCGGGTCCTCGGCGAGGTAAACGACTCTGACGAGGGTGTGCTGGTGCACCGAGACCCGATTACGGCCGTTAGTGCAGTGGATGTCCTTGAGTCTTTGAAAACGCCCGCCACTTCGCAAACAAACCAAATCGAGATATACGTCATCCGGTTGGGATGCATCGCCAACGTTAGGCATGGCAGGCGGCAAAAGAAGAGAGTCGATCTCACCATCCTTGGACCGATCCTGGAGATCGAGAAACCTTTTGCCAATATGGCCACCGTTTGATGCCTGCTCTTAAGACTTGCTGAGATCCCTGAATGTCTGTGCTGTCAAAGAATTGACAAAAGAATCGACAACAGGACCAGGGTGTTGTTTCTGTCGAGGCTGCGAATGGCTGACGTTAACTAACTAGCTAACTAGTGCAACTGGGAGATGGTGATGGGCGCAGAAGGCTAGCAACGAAGTGGGAGGGAAACGGTCGAAACGGGAACAGCAATTCGACACGCGATGCCCTGTGCGGCGAGTTTGGTGGGGCGTTTCCCACGTGGTGACGGCTGGGCCTCCCGAACATCGTTCTTCCTTCCATGTCTTTCAGCCGGCAAAATGTCCGCAAAAAGCATGCGACACGGTACAAACATTGACGAATGGCGGTTCGATACTAGACCGGTCCCGAGATAGATCCGAACTCCCTAGCCTGGCAATAGCCGGTGATTTGGTACGGGAAAGAGCAGAAAAAATTGGCAAGTTGCGATTTCCTAAGGGAGGGAAGCGCAGTCGTCGTCTCATCTGTCACAGCTGCAGCAAGCTGCTGCTCGAACAATGGAATACCCCGGACCTCTCCTGCCAAAAATGCCACCCTCCGTCATCATCAGTGCAACAGTGACAGGGGTTAAAGGAGTTGGCTTTGCGAGCCAAGTCTGGCCCCGCAGGGGTGCGGGAAGGTGTGTGGGTGTGTGGCAGGGTATTGTGGAGTGAGGGTCCACCTGTTCGATCCTTCCTTTGTTGGTGGGTGAGCCTCGAGCGAGCCAAGGCAAGAGGGAAATGGTGCAGCGAGAAAGAGGGAAGAAGTAGGGGGCTTGTCCGAGTTAAAGGCAAAACGATTTGATCCGGATGTAGTTAGCGTGCTAAGGCCCTCTAGGCCCAGTGCCTCCGGGCGAAATAAATTCCATCCATCCAGCCTCGAGCGAGTCTTTGCCTGGCCCCCTCTGTCGATCTGCGAATGCTCTTTTCTTTGGAATCATTCACTATTACATTGGCTTTGTGAGTAAATCGGGCGAAAAAAGTGCCACCTTTCCGTTTCAATCAAGTTCGGGCAATACACGTACGTGTACGAAGGACATCGGCGCATTATGCACACAACCACACAAACCTCAACCGCCCGAATTTCTTCAGATTGCCCCCTCGTTACCCCAATCTGGCCTGGTTCGCTCATTGCCACCCACCTTGTTCCAAGAGCAGAGCCAATTACAGGCTTTTCCATTTTTCGAAGCAGACTTTCCCCTGCGTCTCCCCGTTTTGGCCATCGCCCTGTTTCTGGTGAACGGAAAAGGGTTCCCTGCTTGGTTAGTACGAGCTCACTTCTGCATGGTGTCCCACAGATCCCCAGACTGGCAGGGGTTCTCGATGGTGGGCAACGGGTGTGGTTGGGTGTGGGTGTGTGCTCTGCTCCGAACCCTGCGTCTTAGCCAGGAAGATCTCTCGAACGCCTGTCGACTTCGGCCCACGTCAAAGGATGGCGCCTCTGGTATCCCAGCTAGCTTTCTCGGGTATCTCTCTGTTCAGTTGCTCCCAGTCGAGTACTTGAATTCACAAATCCCCTCGTTCAATGCCGGTCCCACTGCTTGGGTCGTTACCATCCTACTGGAACCGCCACCTGGCCCCCCCTCCCTCCCCGATCCATATCACGGGGCGTCAGCGCCTTGTCTTGGAATAGCCGGGACAGCAGAATAATTCTCACCTAACCTACTTGCCTACCCACCGAGCTGATACTCCTTTCGAGGCTCGCCCGCGGGGCCAAACACGGGGCGGGCCGTCAAAGACGAGCACTCAACTATACGCCACCGACAGACATTAGCATTCATTGTTCCATTGACATCGACCCAGCGTCGCGTGGCGCCTCGACGTGAACCATGACCACTGTCGATCCCGGCCTTTCGGGGTCGGAAATCGACGTCGTCGGCGTCCTCGAACGCGCAACGTCGGTCTTTTCCCTGCTAGGGTCCATGGTTGTCATCACCACCTTCACCTTTTCCCGGGCCTTCCACAAGCCCATCAACCGACTTGTCTTCTACGCAACGTTCGGCAACCTTATGACAAATGTAGCCACATTGATGGGCCGGTCGTTTGTCAACGACATCAACCAGGCAGGCTGCCAGTTCCAGGCTTTCCTCATCCAGATGTGCGTTTCCCGGGAGCGGATTACGGGGTTCAAGTTTGCTGACGGTGTGTGGACTAGGTTTATGCCCGCCGATGCTTTTTGGATGCTGGCCATGGCTCTGAACGTGCACCTCACCTTTTACTACAAGTTTGACGCCCGGCAGCTGCGGCGGATGGAGCTACCGTATTTTCTCTTTTGTTATGGTATCCCCTTCATCGTTTCCCTCACCTTGGTGTTTGTGTCATCCCCCGAAAAGGGCCGGATGTACGGAAACGCAACGCTGTGGTGCTGGATTGCTCCCAAATGGGACATCTTCCGTATTGCCATCTTCTACGGGCCTGTCTGGTAAGCACGGGATCTCCTGGGTAGGGGCGCATACAGACCTAACCATCGACACAGGATCGTGATCCTCATCACTTTTTCCATTTATATCCGCGCAGGTCGCGAGATCTACAAGAAGCACAAGCAGTTGAGGGAGTTCAGCACCAGCCATCACGACCCGGAACCCCTCCACGCCGTCGAGGACCTGTTCAGCTCCACCAAAACGACCGAGGTCTATGTGACTACCGAAGTGATCGACAAGCGCGCCTCTATCGACCTCGCACCTATACGGGGTGGCGAACGACGACGATCAGAGGGCTCGTCGCCGCAAAGACCGCACAAAGCAGCCTACTCGGTCACGATCTCCTCTCGTCGCCCCGGCGAAACACATGGCGACAACAACGCAGAAGATCAGCAGCAGCAACAGCAGCCGCAGCAGCAAGTCCAAACCACCATCACCACCAACCCGCAAGCCACGGGCACCGGTCTCACCCGCGTCACCACCAACACCCACAACAACAATAACACTCTCACCAGCACCAGCACCGCCACTGGCAGCGCCGCCACCGTGAGCCCAAACACCACCAACCCCAACCCGCTCCGCCGCCGCGCCGCCTTCGAAGCCACCAACGCGACGTGGTCCTACACCAAGTGCGCCCTGCTCTTCTTCACCGCCATGTTAGTCACCTGGATCCCGTCCAGCGCCAACCGCGTTTTTGGCGTCGTACACGCCGGCCAAACCTCCCTCCCGCTCGAGTACATGTCCGCCTTCGTGCTGCCGCTGCAGGGGTTCTGGAACGCCATCATCTATTGTGTCACCTCGTGGGGGGCATGCCGGATGCTGGGGGAGGATGTGAGGTCGTGGTGGTCGCGGGTGGGGATGGGTTCGGGGATGGGGAGAGGGAGGAGTGGGGATGGGGAGGATGCGGGCGAGGTCGGGCTGCATCTGGGGCGGCCGTCGAGGTCGGCGTTCCGGATGGTGGGTGGGAGCCGCAAGACCAGTGATTCGAAGACGTATGAGACGGAGAGCATGACAGAGTTGGCGGCGAGCCGCCCGGGGTCGAGTGGTAGCCCGACTATGATGGGTGGGGCGACGCCGCTGCCGCCGCCGCAGACGGCAAAGATGGGGGTGTGAGTTGGCAAGGAGTTTGGGCGGTTGGGAAGGCAGGCAGGCAGGCTGTGTTTTTTGTTTAACGAGAATGCGCCCCCGTTGCTACGTCGAGTTTTTATTTTTATTTTTATTTCTTTTACTCACTTCACTTCACCCTAATTGGATGGGCAGTGCCTTGGGGCTGGCTGCTACTTCTTCTTATGGTTTTTGTAATTTCTACACGGGGCGGAGCACAAGCTCAAGGGGCAGACTGAACCTGTATTTTTGTTTTCTGTTATCTGGGTCTTGTTTTAGGGGATGATGGCAACGAAAAAACTAACGGAAAGCGACGGTTGACGGCAAATGGCATTATACCCCTTTTTCTCTTCTCACTACCTATACTTACCAACAAATGAACGAATTGGGTGGATGTCTTGTCTGTTGGCTTCTTCAATGCACCGCTGCACGCTGCAAGCTGCACTCTGCATGCATGCATGTCGCACACATGAGTGGGTTGACTGACTGATTGATTGGACTCGGAAAAAGCGGCAGGTGTTGGACGGACAGAGGGGAAAAGATGGATTGCGTGTGCACCCCGATGCGTCCCATCCATAGATCATTTCAGATTGTTTCACTTGCTGACATGTTATTCCCCTAACGAACTGCATCGGGGGCCCAATCCGGTGCGTGTCGTGCCTGAGTTGTGCCTAGACTGTGCCTCGCGGGCCGATGTTGCAACAAACGGGATGGATATTGGACGTCGCGGGAGGTAAGTACCTTACTTTGCGCGGCATGGGTCTGGACCACGAGACACCGCAGCGGAGTTATTAGTTATTGGTGACGAGGATAAATGGAAGTGTGGGCTTGTTGTTGTTTGCGGCGGGGGAAAGTCAAGTCGTTGCAGGGCCAAGCCGAGCCACGTTCAGCCAAGATTGGCCAAGCCTTTTCGGTTCGTGCCGTTTTCTTCTCCGTTTTTGTTTTTTATGTCTTGATTTGGGGATGCGAACCATCAAGATCACAGCAACCGTTGCAAGCCACCTCGGTCATTATCCGAACCGCGTCTCACAGACTCCCGTCTTGTCGCAAGAGAGGCGTCTCTAACCCGCCTACTTCCCGTCTTGCAGCCCAGCTTGTGGCTTGGATGAGTTGCATCTGCGCTCTGACCCTTCCAACCAAGAATCAAAGAAGCCAAGACTCATCATATATTGACTGCTGAGACAACTGAGACACAGGAGTTATGCGGTGTCCCTGGCAAGGCCGTCCATCTTTGGCGAAGAGCACCGGCCCCCAATGCAACGAACTCCGCGTTGAAGGAGCGTATTGAGTGTGTTTGCTGAATCTAGAGCCGGGAAAACTGAGACGGACAACAGCAGCCCTGCCTCCCCCCCGTGCTGTTTCCGTTTGATAATTTCCCCGCCCATGTGGTTGGCTGTCAAAAGCAATATCGGGAAGGGTTACAGCGGATGGCAGGCTACCCCATCCCCCCCCCGACGCTCCAACAGCCCAAACCCACTCTGTCTCCCTGCCACAGCATGCTGACCATGCTCACTTTTCCGTGGATGTGGTTCTGCCGCTTCTCGCTTCTCGCTTCTGCAAAACAAGACTTCTGCAGACGAGCGCCCGCTGCGACCTTCTTTCGGCTTGTGCGGACCAGGGGACCAAAAACCCGGTTTGCTGGCTTTACGAGGTGGTATTCTCAAGGGTTGGGCTGACTGTGTCGGCGAAGATCTCATTGTGCCAATGTGTCGACCCAGCAGGACAGATTCACCGGTGAGCGCACCGCGTCAATTCCGGTGTGCCCCTGGGCGTTCGGGTACCGTCAACCGAAAAAAAGATATCTCCGTCGTATCCGGCAGCTGGAAGAGACAGAGGGGCAGAACCAGTTTCGCCCCTGGGACTGTGTCAGCGAGGAAATCCAAGAACCAGCGATCAGCAGCAGGGGCTTGACGGTCAACCAACTGGACGGATTGTCTGAACGGAACACGGTTCCGTTTTTGTCTTTGGAAACCAAACTCGCAGCTCCTCGTGGAGAGCCCCGAACAATCACAGAGACAGAGAGACTCTAATATTCTAAATTCGCCCAGACCACGAGATCAACGTCCAGCTTGAGGCAGGTGGGAAGGTGTACGGAGGTCCCTACTAAAAGTTCCACCACACCGCCTTTTGTGCCAAGACGCCATGCACTGTAAGCCACTATAAGCTACCACACACCAATTAATCTGAACATTTTGACTGACACAACCACGTTGAAGCTATTCCAAAGCAGGGCCCGGCCCAGTAACTACATCTTCCCGGCGTTCCTTTGCCCGGCCTTCCGTATACTCATTACCGCCCTCGAGGCGAATCACTTCCTGGATATGAAACACTATCCTCTCAATCCAAGCCTGTATCCTTGATTGCTCCAAGTCTTCCCACGCCTGTGTCCACACTGTTTCGGCCTCCTTTTTTGACTTTGGGGCTCCCTTCTTCGTAGTCAGCCGCTTCAATTGTGGCCAACAAGGCTCGATCATATTAAGATTAGGTGAGTTAGGACACCATAGAAGCCAAACCACATGAGCAGCATCAAAGATAGCTGGCTGTGCCTTGTGTGCGTGTGATGGAGCTCTGTCTTCTTGGACAAGTGTATCAGGACCACATCGCTTAGCGTAAGGGATGAGCTTTGGGATCAACACCTCCTTTTGGTAGCGATACCAATCCACACCTGAGCCTTTCCCTCGAGTCAATTTGCCATGTTTGGCATCCCATTTCCATTGAGGCTTCCTACCTCCACGATTTCGAAGACCAAGGCGCCCCATCTTTGTCGTAAGCTCCCACTCTTCCTTCAGAATAGCTTCAAGTTGAGCGTTCAGCTCCTCCAAGTCTCGGTCAGCTGCTTTCCTCTCTTGTGCTGTTTCAGGATGAGAAATATGACATGGCCCTTTCGAGTCGTAAGAGAAGCAGCCCCAAAATTGGAACTCGGCAAATCCTTTCCATCGCTCTCGAATTACTGACTTGACAAACCTCTCTTGAGGAGTCCTCCAAATCCGGTAACCCCCCCGACGATGATTAATAACAACAGATGTCTCGTCAGACCAGATCACCCGCTTCCAATCCTCGAGAGTCCAGGCCCTATGAAGAAGACAAAACTCAAAGCGGTCCCTCCTCATCTTCTCGGTCAATCCTGGCTTGCGTGTTGGCTTTGTCTTCTTCATTCCGGCTGCCCGAGGATACGCCAGAACTGTCATCGACGAGATAACATGGTCCAGCTCCTCAGAAATAAAGGCACATGTCATCTCACGGCCATGTCAGTTTGCCCGTACCTTCTGAATGACCTCATCTTTGTCTTGCTCTTGATTGCGAGGACGGCCAGAGCGGGGGGCATCTTGGACATGTATGTCGAGGATGACGGGCGGGGAGGCTGTTGGATCAAAGCCACGCTCGAGTGCCCGTTGCGCAATGAGGTCTACGGTACGGGGCTTCAAGCCAGTGAGGGATTCAATCGTCTTGTTGTCAAGCTCAAGGACAAGTCGTAACATCAGTGCCGAGGCACGTGTAGCAATATCGTGGTGTGGCATGGTGGGTGTTGGTAGGAAGAAACAAAAAAGGAGGGAGGGCGGGCGATGCCTGCTCAGTATGTGCGGGGTATTACGTCCTAGCTTACAGGCCACTGGGCCGAATCAGGTAATTCTGCCTGGCAGAATTTTCAAGGCGGTGTGGTGGAACGTTTGGTAGGGACCTCCGTATGTGAACAATAATTACCCAACCCTAACCCCAAGCCGTATCAACCCCTATCTTCCCCAACCCCTCCAACACACGACCACCCTCACCCCCCGTCCCTTTCACTCACCCACGCCTTACGCCACACCCTTCCACTCATTCACTCACGCCCCCTCAAACCTGCCCCCCTCCTCCTCAACCCTCACCACAAACTCAAACCCCACCCTCACATTCTCCGCCCCACTCAACGCCCTCTCCACCAACGCCTCCCTGCGCTCGCCGACCAGTCTTCTCAACGCCGCTACCAAAAACCCCCCCACCACCTCCACAGCCCACTCCTCGGGCACCAGCTCCAGCACCTCGACCACATCAAACCACCCGCCAAACCGCTCCAGCAGCGCGCCCGTCTGCGCCAGCCGCTCGCGGGGGTCGTCCAGCGCGAGGAACTCGCCCAGCAGCGCGCGGAACAGCGCTGTCTGCTCGGCCCACGTCGGCGGCAGGTCGCTGCCGCTGTCGCGCCGCTGGCGTCGCGTGCCCGTGGCGGGGGTGAGGGCGGCTGCGCCGCGCACGCAGTAGGATACGGCCGTGTCGTAGTCACCGAGGCGGTGCACGAGGAGGCGGAGGGCGGTGGCGTGGTGGCGGGCGCGGGAGGCGAGGATGATGGATTCGGGGACGAGGAAGGGTTGGTGGGGGGGTGGTGATGTTGTTGTTGTGGTGGTGGTGGTGGGGATGCCGTTGGTGGTGGGCGGTTCTTTGGCCGGTTGGATGTCGGTTCCGGTTGCGGTTCCGTTTCCGTTGAGGTGGGGTGGGGGTGATGATGGAGGGAGGGCGGCGAGTGAAGCGTCGATGCGGGCGCGGATCGCGTTCACGTCGTAATCGTGGCCGCCGCCGAGGAGTTGGAGGAGGCGTAAGCGGCTCTGCCAGACCTCATCGTTGGGCGGGGCGTTGTCGGTGAGGAAGTGGATATAGGTTGGCTTGGGCGGGTGGAGGGCACGGTAGGTGTCGTAGGAGGCGGCGATGTTATCCCGCGAGGCCGGTGACGTTTGCAGGTCAGTGATGACGATGTCGAGGTAGTAGGTGATGAGCTCGTTGACGTAGGCTGTGTTGCCCTTGCCGAAGACGAGGTGTTCGAGGTAGTATTTGACCGCGTCTGGGGCCTCTTCCCGGAGGAGGGCGACTATCTGGGCGTGCTCGAACTTCGGGGCTTTGCCTTTTTCATCCGTAAAAACTTGGACGCCGAGCTTGGGATTGCGGCTGGCCAGCCACAGGCCGTATTCTTGGACCAGCGCTTGGTTGCTGATGTTGGAGAGGTAGCTCCTTAAACGCTGCTCGCCATCACCTAACTCGCCGCCCCTATCTTCTTCTCCCTCGATAACACGTCTCCATGTCCCAAGCACGTCTGCTGTCATCTTGCGGTGCTGGTAGAGACGGCTGAGGACAAAGAGGCGACGGTAGGTTTCGAGTAAATCCACCGCTCTATCGAAGCAGTCGACGCCATGGTCCACAAGCTCGTACAAGTCTTTCCGTACCGAACCAAGGGTTCCGGGCTGACCTATCGGCGTGCTCTGGTCGAGCTCCAAGAGCACCAATAGTAGGGACGCATCCACGGTCCGAAACACCTCGTCTGGGATACTGCCAAATCCCTTTTTCTTTCTCCAGGCAGAAAGGAAGCGTCTCAGGAATTGAAGGACGTGGGCCGGTAATGAGCTGATCCCCTGTATGTCTAAGCCGTCTGTCTGAGCTGAAATGTAGCCCTCAACAACACTCTTGATACCACCATAAATCCATATTCCTCTTCGGTTCATGACAAGTTCGTTCCGAAGGGCAGGGATCAGAGACAGGACTACCCGAGCGTCCAGATCTCCACCAACAAGGTTCTCCTCCATTGCCTTCGTTTCGGCGTCCGTGAATGGCGGTGCTGGCGAGCTTAGGAACGTTGTTAGAAGCATGACGCTTGCCTTCTGTTTAATGTAACCGAGTGTCATGAATTCAAGTTCGGTTGTTGGTTCCCGGTCCTTTATGGTGTTGAGCAGGGTAAGAAGCTGTTGTCTCGTATCCGAGCCATTTGTGGTTGTTTGAGAGCTTTGATGAGCTGCTAGCTCTAACACAGAGTCTAGCTGCGTGAGCAATGGATTGCGCACAGCCCACCATATGTTGCCACCAGCCCAGACAGCTAGGCGCGACGACGTCTTTGCCAGCCGTCGTACAAATTCTTCCCCTTCCTGATTCCTCGTCGTTTCCCATCCTGGGGGTAGCTGCTCATCGTCCGACTCAGGATCCCGGTCGAAGAGCGCTTGTTCCTGGGTGAGGCGCTGTAGCGATAGCGCCGTCCGAGAATCATTGCTCTTGAGAGACATGGTCGGAGTTTCTGGGTGCCCCTTGAAGGGCGAAAAACGCCTCTGACATAAACGCTCGACGACGTTTTCGAACACCATATCTTCCTTCTGTAGTAATGGCCGGATACCAATAGGGGTGCTGGCTGTGTGTTCTTTAGATCCGTCATCCCCTAACTCCAACCACCACTTCTCTGGCTCATCTTCGCCGGCGTTCACATCAAAGCGCTGAATCTCCAGACCGTGATGTAAGCCATCCTCAAATTCCTTTGTCATTGACGCAAGAATATAGCCCTCCTGAGTACTCGGGGAAGGGAGTGAGGACGAGAGATCGGCCGAGCCCCCGTCAACGGCGATCTCACGGGGGTACCTTTCGAATTCGAGCGTGGGCCGCGTTGGGTCTCCGTCAAGGTTCACGAATATGCCAATGCCTGGTTCAAGGGGACTGGTTCCGGTGACAAGTAGGAACTCTTCTGTAGTAGGCGATACAATGTGCGGTTTTAGGAAGACGGAGCCGGGCTTTGGAGACGGCGTTGACCGTACCGGTGGCGTTGCTATCCGAGGTGGCGGTGTTGCTTGAGCTGTTAAGAAGTCCCCGGATTCACGTGGGGGCGCGGGCAAGGGCTTGTCTGCTGGTCCCGGGCTCCGCGAAGGGGAGGGAGCCTCAGAAGATTGGAATACCGGGTCCTCTGCATCTCCGGACCGTCCGTCATTCCTTCGCCTGCCCATAAAATTTCCCAGGCTTGTGCTCCTAGAATGGCCTTGAGAGTTGGCAGGGCTACGCGTAGTCGCTGACGACGCGCTCCGAGCCAGCCCCCCATCCGGAGCGCTCGCGATGTTTTGGGTCTGGCCAAAGCCGCCATCGGGCTGGGAATTGTCGAGTGATGATATGGTCATGAGCGGGATTTTGAGTTGGCGGTCAACATCTAACAAGGCATAATTCCTCGAATCTGCGACGCACGCAATCGAGTCTCTGCGTATCGAGAGCGTGCTTCCGGCAAAGTCGATTTTCTGGATGTCGCGTCAGAGAGATTAACCAAAAAAGAGCTCATGCAGCATACCCGAAGCACACGCGCATCTTCTTCCCCTATCCTAACCACCTGTATCCGGCGATTCAGCGACAAGAGGATGGTAACCCCAGCGGATTTCTCGTTGCCGCCATCGCCGCCCTCGTTTAAGTCCACGCCGCCTATCCAATTGCAATTCCTGACCTGTGTGGCGCCAAACACGGGACTCAGCTCGGGGAGTGAGTAGAAGGTGACGGTCCAGTTGCACAGGACACAGGCCTTGCCTACGCGCGGTAGAAGGAGGATCTGTTGTACGCCTGGCCGTGAGCCATTGATGCCACCCGCGGGCTCGGAGTATACTGGGGGAAGACGAGAGGCGAGAATAAAGGTAGAAGGGCTGCTGGGATCGTTTGGATCGGGAGGGATGCGGAAAAAGTGCAGGAGCTCAGAGGCACTGGTGCCAACATAGAGGTTGCCGTCTGGGAAAGAAAAGGATAGTTAGCAACCGTCGCGCCCATTCTCGACCACAACCCAACCTGCGCATACCATAATAATCGACGCAGTTTATCTTGATATCCTCGTCGCTGCCGTCGGCGGAGAGGGGCACGTCGTGGAGTAGTGGGCGCAACGCATAGGGACGAGCGCCGGGGGGTGCTGCCTGGCCCTGCTTCCTCTGCGGGTCGGATGCCATGACGCATCCCGAAACATTGTCGCCCGGCCGTGAATGCGGGGTCGCCGTGGGATACGGCGCCGGGAGAAATCAACCGGGTGCGGAGCGGAGCGGTTATTTGGAGGCTGTCTGGTGAAGGAGGGACATGAACCCGGAACCTAAAAGTCGTCGTCATGCAAGGCTGCCCGCTGGGGAAGCTCCCAGGCGCTAGCGTACCTTAGTTCTAGCATGGGGGAGCAGCGCAGGGCAGCTGTTCAAGCCCCTGCATCCCGCGGTCCACTTCCAGTGCTTGGGCGAAGCCCCACAACCAACCGCAGTTCTGATCTCGAGGATCAATCAGCCTTGGCGCTGTCCCTTCGGCCACCGTACCTAACAGCTTGCTTCGCGCCGGCCTTCAACAACCGGAACAGCGTTCCATAAACAACAATAAGGTTGATGTCAGCCACACAACAACACCAGATTCATAACCGTTTACGGTAGTCTTTCTGCGGATTGCGTGAGCAACACGACGCAATGGCCGAAAGAACTAGCTCAGACGCTCCCGGGCTCGGGACACCCGCGCCACCATCACCAACAGCCGACTCCAGCACCGTCAACAAGTTCCAAAACGCCATTTCCCAATGGAGGAGTGCGTCTCGATTCTATATCGCTTTCCTCAAAGCAAGCATCTAACGCGCATCCAGGTCTCGATTTCACGACGCTCGTCTCCAACCTTGACAACACCGCCTCCGAGATCGTGGCCTTCCAGCGGGACTCGACCGTGCAGAGGAAGGATTTGGCGCAAAAGACGAAAGACTTTAGAAAACTCGACGATGCAAGCAAGCTTACCGAAATCAAGGGGTTGCTCAAGGGTACGCCCTCTCGCCGGAGCTCCGTCGACTGTCCTTGTTGAGGCTGACACGATGCAGCTTACCAAACCTTCATCGATCTCCTAACTACCAGCTCCAAGTCCGTTAACTCGGCCTTTCTCCACACATACACATCACTATCTGACGCGCCGGACCCATACCCATTACTCGAGGCCTCCGTCGATTCAATACTCGTCTCGGAGGACACACTACCGAAGCTCACCCAGGAGAACCAACACTTGCAGGACAGTGTTTCCCGGCTGACGACCCAGCTCGATGATACAGAAGCCCGACTTCAGACGGAACGCGATGCGAGGAAGAAGCTCGAGGCGAATCTAGAGAGCAAGGTCAAGGAAGCCGAGGAATCATGGACCGCCGTGGTAGAGGAGAAGCAGGATAATTGGTCGGCAAAGGAGAAGGCGCTGGAGGACAAGATCGAGAATCAGGACCGCCTGCTGAACGAGATCAAGGCTAGCTACGAGGTCAACCAACGACTAGGGAAGTCCGACGATGCCGACGAGGGCCGAGGACACGTCACGAGCGCCGAGCTGGAGATGGTACATTCCGATTTGGAACGGACGAGCACACGGCTTGCCGAGGTTGAAGCTCGCAACGAGCAGTTGCGTCTGGAGCTGGCACAGGCCAAGTCACAGGTCCCAATCCAGGCCTCGGTCAACCTGGAAGACGAGCCCGGCTACCTGCGGGTGAGGTCGGAGAACTCGTCTCTCATTCGGAAGCTTGATGCGGCACGAGTGGAAAAGGAGGGCCTAAAGAGGGATCTTAGCGTCAAACTTCGGGGCCTTGAAAGAGAGGTCGGAATGTTGAAGGACGAGCGGGATGGCCTCAAGGCGAAGGTGCAGAAATGGGGCGACTACGACGAGGTCAAACAAGAGCTGGAAGTTCTGAAGAGCATCGAGTTCTCAACGGGCGATGACGATGAAACGCGGGATATTGGTGGGGACGAAAACGGCGCTGCAACCTCGGGCAAGGGAGACACACTCGAGCAGCTGCTTCTGGCCCGGAACAAAAAGCTGAGCGACGAACTCACCATCCTGCGGGTGTCGCATCAGGATCTGCAAAGCAGGTTGCAGAATCTGCAGGAGGAGCTGTCGCGGACCAATGCCGAGCTCGAGAAATCACAAAACCTCAACGAAAAGCTCGAGAACGAGCTCTCCACCGTCCAAGCCGAGGCACCCAATGCCTTCCCCTCGGGGCGCCTCCGTCGCGGGTACCTACGTAAGCCGTTACGCGCCCCTCCATCGCGGCCGGGCCGCAAGGGAGGACGGAACATCACCCAACCTCGTCCATTCATCAGCCGGCTTCAACCCGCGCGATTTCGCCGGATGACCGGCCACCCATGGGCGGCGGCTCAGGCATCTTACCCATGATCACAGCCCAGCGTGACCGCTTCAAGAAGCGCAACACGCAGCTCGAGCAAGAACTCTTCCGAGAACCACCGCACCCGTCTCCCAGCTCCGGCAGGAGATCGCCGCCCTCCAGCGCGACAACCTCAACCTTATACGAAAAAACACGCTACGTATCCCACCTACAACCGAACCACCGCCGCCGGCAGTGGCACGGCCACGACCTCCTCCTCCTCCGCCTTCACCGCCAACCCCAACCCCACCTCCGTCTCCATCACCTCCCCCCACACCCCCCGCCATCACCAGCCCCGGCCCCGCCCCCCTCGGCCTCGACCGCTACCGCAAGGCCTACGAGTCCAATCTATCACCATTCGCGCAGTTCCGCGGTCCGCGAGTCCGCCCCGCGCCTACAAGCGCATGGAGCCTGCCCGAGCCGCGTCGTCTACTCCGTCACCCGCATGGTCCTCGCCTTCCCGCACCAGCCGCAACTTGTTTGCGCTGTACTGCCTGGGCCCTGCATCTGGCTGGTGTTTGGGAACCTGTTCTGGGTGGGTGCTGGTGACGCGGATCGCTATGCGCAGGGCGGGAGGGGCCGCGGCTGGCTATGGCGGCGCAGGCGCCCGAGGTTGATTGATTAGGTGGATTGGAAAGGGGGGGGTTGGGGGTGGATGGGTGGATGGGTGGATGGGTGGATGGGTGGATGGGTGGATGGGTGGATGTGAAGGGGGGAGGGGGTTGAGTGGGTGTGTTTGTTTGGTAGACCGGGGTGGTGGTGGTGGGTGAGAATCTTCGGGGGACTGCATCTGCATATGACTTGTATGGGTGGATGACGCGCAGCTTTTGCGAGGGCTATTTGTGGTGTGTGTGTGTGTACATGTGCTTAGATATGTGTATAAGGTATTTTGTATGGTATGGTATGGGAGCCATGTGAGTGGGTACTCTCTCTGGCCGCTGGTGTCCTGCAATATCGGGAACGGTTGTGGTTGATGGGGGGTCATGGCGGAGGCGGCCAGCCGTCTCGGCGGGCGGCTGCGGAGATGAGCCCCGGGATCGGCTGTGGCTGGCCGTGGTTGCTGCGGTCCCGCTTCGTGCGGTGTCTTTTCATGGCGTGGCTAATGGTTTGGCTTGGGGAGATGGCGTCTTCGATGCTGTCTTCTTTTTTGTTTTTCATGGATTGAAGAAGACGGGGCGTTGTGGTGCCTGGGCCGAGAAGTGTTCCTCGAGGGGAATTCATTAGGTGGACAGTTCCTTGTCTACCTAGATAATGCTTATGTCAAGATTTCGCCGTGGGCAGAATAAGTCATCCAGGATCAACGTTATTCCTAACTATGGCTGATCCAGACGGCCTCTGCTAATAATGACTTGAGATTGCAACATCGTTGAGGGCCTTCATCAACCCCCATACCGCCACACCAACTACAATCACTCATTCCACATCGTAACCACAAACCCAATTCTCCTCTCGCCGTCGTCACCCGCAACTTCCTCCACTGCTACAACCCGGCCGAGGCCTACCCGCCACTGAGTTTGGCTAATTCATTTACGAGGCAGATTTCACCGCGTGGGGATGGGACGTGGTTTGGCCGTCGGGGGCAGGCAGCATGCGCTAGGGTGTTACTGCAGACAGAGCGGTATGACGAGGTCAGGCGGGGGAGACAAGGCCGCGAGAGATTGGCTGGATGGGAGACAGAAGAGTTGCCATAGGCGCTGGGCACGAGGGGAATGGTTGCTGGAGCTGTTTGGACGGGAACGGGGAATAGGAAGGAGGTGCGAGGTTGATGGGGCTGGTGGAGGGTATTATTTGAGAGAATGGGGGATGTAAGTCCGTATGGAGTATATCAAGCTTTGTGAGAGGTTGAAGGGGAGGGATGGAAGGAAGAAGATGGGGTGAGGTGAATGGATCGCCATGTTTTGTCGGTTGGGTAAATGTGCCTAGCCACTACCAAGGCAACAAGGGAACTTTTCCAGTCACCTTCTCAATGAAGGAATGTACGCAGCCGCTGGATGACGACAGCGTATTCGTCATGAGTTACAGACAGGCGCCGGCCGTGAAGGCCGAGGCATGGCAAAACCAGAACCAAAAAAGACATTTCCGACAAGTCCGCACCGAACAACCCATCTAGAAGCTGATGGGTGGCTTCTGGCGTCTTGGCCCGCCGGGCATGTTGACATGTATGTCCATACATTAGCGAACCGAGATGATTTGAAGAGGCCGCAACGGCAGGCCTTGCCGTCCCAGGCGCCCGCAAAACATGTGGGTGTGGAACCGGAACCGGCACCGGACGCGAGGGCGGGAGGGGCACGCAGAAACCAGGCCGCAGTAACTGGCCAGCGTTTATTCTGCGGACAATATTTGGCTCGCTAACCGGTAGGGTTGCCACATGGCCGGGTGGGAGGCATCCCTTGGATGGGGTTGGTGGATGAAGGTTGTTTTCTTGCTCGGGAACAGTTTGATACTCTGGCTTATGGGACGATGTGGATGTCGCCTTCCGAGGACGGGATACCTTTGACTTGTCCGCAAAAAAGCCTTGCTTCGCGCTGCAACTACGGGTTCCTGAGACGCGACCTCTGACGACACGCATATTGTTCCGGCCGCGGGTTGAACCTCACCTTCTCTCGATGTCTGATAGGTTGGATGAGCCAAAGAACTGTGGGGTTGAAAACCCCCCAATATGGAAGACACTAGGAAAAGAAGCGGATGTGAACAATTCCGCTGCGGGCAACTACTTTTAAATAGTCCCAGGGAAGGAGCGTGTGAAAGAAGTTGCAAACTTTATTCTCCAACCGACACGGCGCAGTAGAGTGGGACACGCGAAGAGGTGCATGAAGCGATCGGATATCGCGACAGATCGCAGTTGCGAGCAAAAAAAAGCTGCTTGGCAACGAAAGGATGTGGTCGTTAATCTGGAGAAGCGACGTCCCGACGATCAAGGTTGATGGAAGCGAACCCAAGCCGGGACTGCGGGCGGCTAGGGTTGCAGGGTTGGTGAGGTTGGGCGCGGCAAACATTGTGGGCAAAAATAGCACTGGCCAATGGAACTGGAGAACTTTATGGGCTAAATTCAGTCGAAGAGGGGAAATTAGCCCAATTTCTCCAGATTCCGTTCTGGACCAAATCAATGGAGATAGTCTCACACCCTTCCGTGCGTGCGATTTCCATTTGATCGCCGCTGTCAAGTTCATCCCCATGGTTGGGGGTCCTCGTGAGATGTCCCAGTGATCGGGAGATCGACGATCTAACGGCGTTGCGAATCTTTTGAGCGGCGTAGGAAGCACGCTACACTAGATCGGAGAAGGGAGAAGGTTGGGAGAGGCTATCGTTTGTTCGTGCTCTTACGGAGAGAGGTATGTATATGGTCGCCTGTTGTTAAACTAATAGGCAGTTAACCAAATCTGAGCTCGGGAACGACCACATGCATGTTCACTCAATCTCGGGCTCAACCCTCCGAGGAAACCCAATAATCAAATAACCGACTGTTAGAAATATTGACAACATTTCTTAGATCCGTCCTACCACATCGAGACATGGACTTGGGTTCTGGGAAGATTCCACCGCATCCATTCGTCGCATCTTTGAGAGAGACACCCCGCTCAAGGGGAGGGGTGTGCTGATGAGACCTAAAAGCAGGTGGTGGAACGGCGCTTGCCAGGGGCAAGATGGGCAGGGGTCAACCAACCCCTCCAATGAATCCAACAGCCACTCAGGTGGCAGCATCCAGCGACAAGACCCTCGTCCCGCCGCCGTTTGCTGTTCGTTCGGCGGCTGCCCGCCGGACTAGTGAGTCTATGGATTCTCGGCCGTGGGAGCGCGGGACCTGGCGGGACGAGTGCGACTCGCGGTGCTATCGGGGCGGCTGGAGACCTAGCCTTGTGCCGCCATGTCCGGAGTGTTGTATAATAGCCATCCAACCTCCCTCAAAGGCCGTCGAAGTCATGGTGCTCATCCTCTGTCTCACCTCTACCCTCCATACATACATCCCTCCCGGATAAGCCTCCTCTTTTCTTTTATCTTCTATTAGTTCCTTGTGTCTTCTGCTCTTCGGTCTGGGTTTCCTTACTCTTACTCATTTCGTGATACCAATACCCCTCCCTCGATCTGCGATCGACTTGACTGCTGGCCACTCGATCAACACACACACACACAACCCCAACCATGCATGCCTCACTACTCTTCGTATCGGCGCTAGCCGCTTCCGTCTGGGCTGCCCCTACGTATCCCAAGATCGACGCAGGTGCCAGCATCCCCGACAACATCCGCACCGTCTCCGAATACTTCAACATGCTCGCCTCCAAGGTGCAAGACAGCCGGTTACTCAACAGCCCACCAATCTGCGACCTCTCCAAAGTCTCACTCCCAGCAGGTAAGCAAACCACCTCTTGACCCCCACGATCCCCCACGGACCCAAACCCTGATGCTAACAAACCCCCCTTAGGCGCCGCTGGCCTCCCATCACCATCCCCAAACCTCCACCTCCGGCACATCGCCATCGGCCGCGGGACACAAAACTACACGTGCAACCCTGCCGAGCCCAACGAGGCGCCCAAGGCAGCGGGGGCGCTCGCAACGCTCTTCAACGCCTCTTGCCTGGTAGCGACCAGCCCGCACCTGGCCAACACGCTGACGCGGGCGGCGCTGCACTTCGAGGTCGGGCAAAGCGCGGCGAGCGAGCAGCTGGCGCCGTCCAACATCGGGCTCAGCGGCGTGCACTTCTTCACCGACGCGACCACGGCCCTCTTCAAGCTGGACGTCGCCCCGGCGCTGCAGATCGGCGAGCTCCCCTGCGGCAAGAACGCGAGCGCCGACGCGCCCACGGACGCCCCCAAGGGCCTGCAGGGCGAGGGCGCTGTCGCCTGGCTCAAGCTCATCGCCAAGCCCGGCGCCACCGGCGGCCTGCAGGAGGTCTTCCGCGTCGAGACCGTTGGCGGCAGCGCGCCTGCGACGTGCAATGGCTTGCCTAATGCGTTCGAGGTGCAGTATTCGACGCAGTGAGTCCCCCCTTTCGTTATTTGTTTCTTGTGGTCTGGCAATGCATGGTGCTAATGATGACAGATATTGGTTCTATGCCAAATAAGCGGGCGGAACGTGTAGGAGGGAAATGATCAAGTCGAAAAGGTTGTATATTGGGAGGGGTCTCTCATTATTGCATTGTGTAGGGAGTTCCGGTATTGGGGTTATTCTTGGAGGTTTCAACTTCTTTAATGTAGCGCTTCTTTTCTTTCGAGGGTGAGTGCGTTTGCCAGGAGCAAAGAAAACCAGAGATGATGTTCAACCTCAAGCGGGGGAGGCGCGCACTTACTACATCGCATATATTGCCGAATCAAATAAGATAACACATAAACTCCAAGCCTGCCGTGACAATGTTTGTCGAAAACAGATTGATGGATTCCCAAAAGTGGGTAATTAAAGTGAGCGTCAGGGTTAGGAGAGGGAACGGTGAAACATCACGTGGGAAAAAATATCGAGTTATTTGATTCTGATCCCTGTGGCCAACTTGGGTAACTAACACAACAGAAGATGTGAAATAAAATCCAGTCGAATCGCAGTAACAGAAAGCGACGTGTAGGATTTAAGTCGAGCTGTGCTTGGTTAGGCATATTGCAAGATTACTTTATTTTTCTTAGCCTCGCAAGAATTTCTTGCCATGAGGAAAGGGCGACCCGCTATCTCACATCTCATCTCACTGAGATTTCCTTTTCATCCTTCATGCCGGAATTCACCAGCGAAGGCTTTTGGTTTGCCAGCGACATTTCTTGATGTCAAATCACAACAATATATACTTCGACCACGACAGTACTCGGCTCATCCCGCTGTCTCTGACCATTCCGACCATCTTCCTGTCTCAAACGTGAGACCAGCATCGAGTGCCGATAACCGGCGCGTTCAAAAAACATCATCAAAACCACATCGGTGTCAGGCACAACGAGATTGTGCGTTTTGAGATTGTCTTCATTTTCCCCGTCTGCTCGCTAACCAACGATCAGTCTGTGCGCCGCCATCTGAGCACCGGGGTTTCTCATGTGGATTTCGTGAGCCTAAACAGAACCCAACCACATCATCATTCCTTGAACAGGCCTCGTCCCCCTTACAGACGACAAAAATGGACCAAAATCAACAATGGAACTGGCGCCAACGCGGCCAGGGAGAATATATCCCGCCGCCGCCTAATGGTGCGAACCCATTCGGCATGCCGTTCAGCATGCCTCCGAATTTCAAACCCGGGTGGACCCAGCCGGCACTACAGTACCCCTTTCCCCAACCAAGCCAGCCGCAGCAACAAAACGATGGTAGAGGCTGGGGTAGCCATGCGACATTCGGTCTACCAGGGCTCTCAGGGCCATTATTTCCAGCCACGCACCAACAAAACGATGGTAGAGATCAGAGCCATATGCCCTTCGGCCGCGTAGGGGACCAGCGCTATCTTCCTCAAGGCAACCAACCCCCTTCACAAAACGATGGCAGAGGCCGTAGCCAGGCACAGGCCAGTCAACCAACCTCCTGGAACCCTTTCCAGACTAGCCAGCCTCGCCAACAGGACTATGGTCGGCGCCAGGGTGAAGGGGACTTTTATCGCCCGTCACCTCAGTTTCCTGCTCCCCAACCCAACCCACAGAACCAGCAGGGTGGTGGCGGAGCCTCGGGCGGCCGTAAGCGCCAACGCTCGCGCCGCAACGAACGGCAGCGGAATCCAAGATCCCCAGGACCCCAGCGAGCCACTCCTCCTGACTGGGTTTTCCCCCCCGAGAACGCCCCTCTTCCCTTCCCCATGGATAGCCCTGCCACGGGTCCTTTTCGTTCTACCAGACCGGCGCAGCGGAACACCCCGGGTATCTCTTGGAACGGCACGAAGATAAAAAAAAAGGACATGCCGACTACCTCTTGGAGCGGCACGGGGAAAAACAAAGTAAAACACAAGCACTATCCTCAATATATTCCCCCGATCGCCGCGGAACTCCAGGCCATCGCCCTAGGCCGCCGCGACCCCATCACGCAGCCCTCGCTCGCGTCGGGCGGCATCCCCGACCCGACCCCCGAATACCTCCAGCGCGCCTCCTTCATGCCCTACCGTCTAGCCGCCCCAAAACCCATGCTCGTGGTGATCGACCTCAACGGCACGCTGGTCTACCGCCCCAACAAGCGGCAGGCAACGACCTTCGTCGAGCGGCAGCTGGCGCGCACCTTCCTGAAGAACTGCATCGACCGGTACCCCGTGGTCATCTGGTCATCGGCGCGCCCGGAGAACGTGCGCCGCATGTGCGCCCAGCTGCTCTCGCCGGACTACCTCGCCCGCGTCGTCGCCGTCTGGGGCCGCGACCGCTTCGGCCTAACCACCGAGGACTACGACCGCCGCACCATGTGCTACAAGCGCCTGACGCGCCTGTGGAACGACCCGGTCGTGGCGGCCTCGTACCCGCGGGCGCCGCGCGCACGCTCATTCGCCGGCCCCGGTTCCGACGCCAACTTACTCGAGGGCATGGACACCGTCCCCTCCGATAGCGGGCCTCTGGACGGCGGGGCGTGGGACCAGTCCAACACGGTGCTGATCGACGACACGGCCGAGAAGTCGCGCAGCGAGCCGTACAACGCCGTGACGCTGCCCGAGTTCGCGGGCAACCGGGACGAGAAGCCGGGGAGGATCCTGGCGCATGTGGAGAGGTACCTCGAGGCCTTGTCGTTTGAGAACGACATCAGTACCTTCATCAGGGCCAAGCCGTTCACCATGGACCAAATTCCAACTAGCGACCATCCGCTCAGCATGGAGTGGAGTCCGTCGTCTAAGAACAAGCCGCTCAGCAAGGAGCGAGGTCAGTCGCCCAAGAACAAGCCGAGCAGCAAGGAGCGAGGTCAATCACCCAAGAACAAGCCACCCAGCATAGAGCGAGGTCAGTTGCCTGGGATGGCCGAGCGGGGGTCGTTTGGGGGGTCGTCTCGGGCGTCGTCTCGGGCGTCGACTCCGCCGTCGGCTTGAAGGGGAGGTCCTTTTTGTAGCCTAGGTGGTGACGGGAGAAGGGCGTCGCTGTTTTGGAGGGGAGAAACCCTTGTTGTTTTATGACCGAATGTCACACCCAACTATTCGGAATTTTGTAGATATCTCTTGAAAGCTAGAGGAACGAAAATGCATGTCTCAAAGCACTTTGCACAGTTTTTGTCATGATCATTGGTTATCATTGAGCAAGCCCGCGGATGCGGTAGCTGGTGTCTATTTCATCGAGCCAGGCTCGACTTGACTACTGGTGATATCAAAGCACAATGAACCACCCAGTGGGCCCTGATCCCTGCCGATTCCCTGTCCATTCCCGTTCATCAGTCATGTCCCATAGTCTAGCACACCGCCACGTCTGGCTTGTCATGCGCTTCGCTTTTTTTGATTTATTTGAAGACCTTGCCGGCGGCATGGGGGTACTCCTTGCCGTTGACAACGACCGGCTTCTCCCACGTCCACTGGAGCTCAACGTACTCCCGGTCCTCGGGCTTGGTAGGGTCGAGCTTGGTGAACTCGTAGCTCTCATAGTCGGGAGCGACGTCGAAGACGGGCTCAAACTCCTGGCCACGGATGACAAAGGCACCCTCAATGACGGAGTCATTGTTGACACCGTACACCGACGCGCAGCCGAAGACGTACTTGCGAGAAGCCTCAAGGCGGGTGTTGAAGCCACCGATGAGGTTGCTCGACATGAACGTCAGGGTGAGCTCATCGTTATACTTGTAGGTGCACTTCCAGATAGAGTACTCCTCGAAGTTGACGTTCTCCCAGAACCACTTCATGGCATCAGGGGTCTCACTGTTAGAGTACTGGCGCTTCCACTCGTCAAGGGGAAGGGAAGCCTTGGGGAGAAGCTCAAGGGGGTGCTTGGGCTTGGGGGCCTCGGCCGGCGCCTCCTCCTCATCCTGGGGCTTGGCCGCGGCAGCCGGCTTGGGGGCCTGCTTGGCCGGCTTCGCCTGCTCAGGCTTCTTGGGGGCGACGTTGGTCAACTTGGGGGTATCGAGAAGAGAAAGCTCGGGAACAACAGCCGAGTAGATGGGCTGCTTGTAGACCGTCTCATACCAACGCGAAACGTTGGGGTTCTGCTGGCGCCACTCCTTGTCGAAGAAGTACTCGAAGCCACGCGAAATCAGGCCAGCGGCGAAGACGTCAGCCAGCGTGATGCGCTCACCCACCAGGTAGGTGTTGTCACGGAGGTGGGCCTCGACAACAGAGATGACCGCGAGGGCAGCCTTCTGCGACTCCTCGACAGCCTTCTTGTTGTAGGGGTCCTTGCCCAGGAGGGGGCGGAACCAACCGCCGAGCTTGGGCAACACCTCGCTGTTGAAGTACGACATCCACCTCAGGATCGAAGCGTAGCTACCAGGGTTATTAGCGGCCTGCGGGCTCAGAACCGGTACAACGTCACGTTGCACTTACTCCTGCTTGGTCTTGCCGAGGAGGGTGGTCTTCTCGTTCTGGGAGGTGACTGAATGATTGTCAGCATGTTGGTCAAGAAATGTGTATGCGGTGACAATCCAAGTGGGGTAAGAGAGGACAATCAGAAGTTAGAACTAAGTCAACACCGTAGTTTTCAGATAGGGATAACTGTTATTGAGAATGTCTCGGTCATCATTGTCGAAGGCGGGGCACCTGGGCAACCAAGGTACCACCGCCGTGGGGGGAGCGGGGCAGAGGGGCAACCCAACACAGAGCAGCGCAGAAAACGGAAATGCCACGTACCGTAGACAGCGATGGCGATGCACTCGGTGAGCACGAAGCCATCGGCGCCGACGAAGGTCGGAACCTTGTGAAGGGGGTTGAGCTTGAGGAACTCGGCGCTCGGCTGGGTGGTGTCGGTGTCAACCTCTTCAAGCTCGAGGTTGTTCGCCTTCGCGACGGCGCGAATGCCCGTCGAGCGGGGGTTGCCCTGTGTCGCGCAGAGAGGTCAGCAACGCGTGCGCAAATAAAAAAGCGGCGTCAATTAAATATTTGGCACCATCCTGGAGGATCGCATAACATACCGCGTAGGTGTAGAGCTGTCCGAACGCCATCTTTGCTTGTGAGTTGACAGGAGGCTGATGGTCGAGGGGAAGGGAGACGGGCAAAGAAAGCTGTCGATGAGTGAAAAGGGGATTCACAGAAAATTTATGTGGCGGGGTAGTTCAGGTGGGGTCCAGCTTCACGCGTCCTGACTGGTGGGCGCTAAGGTGCAAGAGCAGGCCGCAATCTGGTCCGGGCCCGCTCGAGCTCCGTGTCTGGAAAAATTGATGCGAAATTGTTCCGCCGAGAGCCGCAGCCCGCCAAACCCACGGGGCAACGATCTCGGCCGAACGACGGGATTCTCCTGGCGCGACCGCCGACAAATGACGGTGGACGGCCGCACGGAACGATGGCATCCTTTTCACGACGAAGGCTCACCTTAGCCCTCCGCGGCCTTTCTACCGGCCTCAATGGCGGACAACAACAGTTACTCGAGCAGCAATTTCAGTCGCTGCAACTGAGCTCAGCAATCCTTCGCCAACGGTGCATGTCGACCGATTCGACGGGGGGGAGATCTCCGGCCCCTATTACTGCCGCCGGCGAAATCGACCTGGACCAGTTGGCCAAGGGACACCTTCTTGCTTCCCATGCTCGACCAGTGCCTGTATCGCCCTCCTATTTCTCGCGCACTCCGGCATTCAATGACCGCTACCTCGCCCTCGAAAAACTATCCAGGGCATATGGCAATCTCCCGCTGATCCCGGCAGCCGATGCCGAACGTGTTGCTTGGAAGAACTTGGCAGACCTGAGGCAGTCGTTTGGCGAGCCAGTAAAGGCAACAGATTATGTCAAGTGCCTCACCATCGTCAAGCGGCTACACCAGATCCACCCCGAGCTGAAGCCGGAGGCGGTAAAGCGGGCGCTACAAGACTTCAAGCGGGACGTGCAGGCCTTCCTGAACGTGCCCAATCCGATACCCATCGACAAGTTTGGACGAGCCCTTGGAGTCGGCAAGAGAAAGTCCTCGATCGCCAGGGCGTATGTTGTCGAGGGCGATGGCCAGGTGCTAATCAACGGCAAGACACTGCCAGATTACTTCGGTCGTATCCACGATAGGGAGAGCGCCGTCTGGGCTTTGCACTCGACAGATCGGATCGACAAGTACAACGTATGGGCGCGTGTTGAAGGGGGTGGCACCACAGGGCAGGCGGAAGCCCTCACGTTAGCCATTGCGAAGGCCCTGCTGGCTCACGAGCCTGCGCTGAAGCCCGCGCTACGGAGAGGTGAGTAACAACCTTCTTCAAACCGCCAACGGCAACTTGAGGACCTCGCTAACTTATTGTTTTCAGCTGGTTGCGTTACCCGCGACCCGAGGAGAGTGGAGAGGAAGAAACACGGCCGGGTCAAGGCGAGAAAGGGATTTACATGGGTCAAGAGATAGTTTCGGCTGGGCGGGCCGTTGTGTGCTTCAGAACTGCATGGCCGACCATCCCCATGGGTTTGGTGGTCACGTCTATGCTTATCCCTCTGTAAGCTTTTTCTCTGTAACAACTGTACCACGGATAACTGTACAATACAAGACATGGGGCGTCTCAGATCTGCGTCACCGGCCAAGGGATATGGTCGAGGAGATCTGTCTACGCTGCTCCATGATGCGCCACGGCTTTCATGGAAATCGACTATATCTTCGCCGATGTCTGATTCTTCGCGCTGTGCGCCGTCGCGGCGTAGGCATGTATCGCTACAACTCATGAAGGGGAATCACCGTAACGGGTCTACTGCAAATTGCTGGCCGCAACCGGGACCTGCCCAAGAGCACTCTTCGAAAGCCATCAGGGCACGAGCTCGGTCACTCCCCCCTGCCCACTTCTTGTCCGACCTTCTCTTTCCCCTGCCCCCGATTTCTGACCCTCTCTCCCTTTTACAGGCCATCGAACACGGTGGCGGGCAGAGCGACTGAAGACTATGGGACTTGAAGGATTGGATGGTAGCTTCTGGACCAGGCTATGATTCGGCAGCCGTCCCAATCCATAAAACTGCCGCTGTGGATGAGACAGGCGTGTCCATGGCGAGCGCTAATTAGAGATCAGCGTCCATTGGTGGAGTAAGGGGTCGTGTTATTGAAGAGCTCTACCTGCGGATCACCTCTTCCGACTTGAACAATACTTATTCGTGGCCTTGCCGCATGCGTGTTGGCGAACGGTTTGCTTTACCTCCCATCTTACTAACAAGGCTTAAAAGGCCCTCTCAAAGGAACATAAGAAGAGCGAGATAGGAGGAGTCAAATGTAGGGGCAGCAAAACACCCATTGCAATAAAAATAGCTTGGGTCTATTCCTTAGCAGCATTTGATAGCTGCTTGTTTTATACATACATCAACCACTTTCACCCCCAAGGCGCTACCTGTTACTTATAAGCAATCCACATTGACATTTACGCCCCAAGCATGGTTCAGGGCCATCGGATGGTCCTGGTCTACCAGAAAACGCCGATGCAGGGACGACTGCGGCTAGGGTGCTGCGCCGTCACACGGGCGGGAGTACCCGCGGAAGCACATTGCTATGGGCGGCAACAGGTTTTCTATAGCAACACCTGTGGTGAGGAGCTGGTTGGCGGCGCGCGATCGCCACTCCAGGCATGAAGGTCATCCGTATATGGAGTACGACGAAGCATGCATACCCGCGACAACCCCATTCCGGGCCACACACATGCACACGGCACGTCTGGTAGCCCTACCCGCACGAGGTCCCAGTTTTATGGCATTCTGGTCGGTTGGGTGCCGTGCTAGTACCGGGAAGCCGACCTTGGCTGGAGCCCAATATGCTTCGGTTATCGATATCGCTTAGGACATGCGGCCTGTCTCAGGGACGAGCATGCTACACCAACTCCGTGGACTTGCCATGGTCAACATGAGGACCGAATTTAATCGTTGCCAAGCAGCCCGCCCTGTCGCCGCCTCACATCAGATGATCGACCAACCACTACCCACGCAGCACCACCAATGGCCGCTGCCCCAGAGCTGAGATCGACGCAACAGCGTAGTATACATAGCTAGTTCATCTCCCGGTCGATTCAACCTCACCCTGGGTGGTAAGTAAAATGCTGGCGGCAGTGGTGCAGCTGTGGGCGATCCCGTCAAGGTGTTTTGATGCAAAGAAACTCAAGGCGTCAAGATCCAGGCAATCGGTCCGGGCGCGTGTAGTAGTTGGGCATCATGCCACAGCTTCGACGGACGGCATCCCCCGGGTCGAGGTGTACCCGCAAGAAACACTTGGATCATTTCGCCAAGCAATATTCGAGTCAAAGCAAATGGTATACTCGAGACTTTGCCGAGGACATTGCATTTGGATTTTGGATGCCACCCACCCAGATGAGCGCATTTTCTTCTGAACCCAAGACAGGACCCTCGTGATTCATTATCTTCGGTCCACGGCGGAGGCGAGCTTCGGGTCTGCTGTGAGGCATATCCGCACCAGAAAACACAAGTCAGCGGGCCCCATGAAGGCGGTTGCTGGCATGGAAGATAACTCGACGTACATGTACTTGCTTCCGGCTAATGTCATGCTCTCATGCATGTCAACGGCCCCTCATCAAATGGTTCCAGAAGCTGGCTTGACGTCGTCTCTGATTCGCGGGCGCCGGGGCTCATGAAACTGGGCCTTGATCCTGGTCTCATTGCGACGCAGCTCACCCGCACGGACGCGATCGGCCAGGGTACATCGAGTCCTGGGCATCTGTTTCGACGACACACCTCGACGCCTCATCCTGGCAAACTCAACATCTCAACGACAAGGATCTAGGATGTTTGAACGACCCTCATTCCCACCCACAGCGTGGCAGTACCAGTACCTCGGCGGGTTCGACCAAGCAACGGAGGTGACTTCATTCTGCACCGAAGCCCTGCATAGAACAAAATTAGCAGTTTGGCCAGGCATCTGCCATGCACTGGGAGGAAAGCAGCTAACGACAAAAAGCAATTCGGACCTGAAAATCACTGCAGCCAAGGCATGAACATGTTGGCCAATTCCCTCACCCCGCCGCCCACATTCATCAAGTTCGCAGCAAACCGCCTGGTGCCCGGCTGTCGTCACAGCGCCCTGCACTTACTGTGTTGAATGCGGTGGTGGTGCAAATGGCTGGGGGGGCCCGGGATCACCGCCACGACGGTCTCAAACACCATTGAGATACGAGCAGCGGCACAACGCGACGAGAACCCTCCGGTCGGCCCGTGAGCTCTGCAAAGCCATGCGAGAATGTGGTACGTGACCCGAACCTGCAAGGGGCATTTGTCTCGGTCGAGGTACTGCATAGTGAGGGGGTGCGGAAGAGACCGATGGATTCGAGCAATGGGAGTCCGGGATACCTTGGGTGGCGGGAATGAGCAGAGCAGGCCATCCGACCTGCCCTAACGCCAGAATTTCAAGCTCCTTCCGTTCTCAAAGTTGCCGTTGCCACCAATGCCCGGGCGCACGGTTGGTCAGGCAAAGAAATCCCATGGAAGTTCTGCGCTCCTGCTTCGTTTGTGGATTTAACCTTCGTTGCCTCCATGCGGAAGGAAACACACTAACGAAGCCTGTGTCTTCCATTTCCTGTGGATGCCCTGTCTCGGCGATGGCCGGCCGCCCACGAACAGAATGGACCCATTTCTCTCTTTTTCCACCGCAGCAAAAAAAAAAAAAAAAAACCCTTGTCCATTGTCCTGCCACGAGCGCCACGAGCCACGAGACATGCGCACCGGAGCCCAGCCCGATCATGCGGGCCTGCGACCAACCGACTCATGTCCGACACTGATTGCATTCAACAACTGCGGAGAACAGTACTTCATACCTACCGAGCGAGCTACCTAGCCAAGAACCCCCGGCGAAGTCACAGCGTCATAAGTCGGTAGATACCGCCGTAGTTATTCGCCGGTCCAGCTGGGGTTTTGCTTCGTTCTGATTGATCCAAAGGACTTAAACACGATCCTGCCAAAGTCTGAGATAGACAACAGGAGGTACCCTGGCTGTTTGGGGTGTGTGTATCGCAAACACTTTTCGCCTCTCCTTCCTGCAATCGTCACCGGCGTTCCAGAAACGCACATGGTCATGACTCTTCGTTTTATCATGTTGCTTTCGATTTCGGCACTCGCAATCGGTGATGCGGTCCCCAAAGCTTGCCTGTGACGGGGGCCTTCCCTCACGACATTGTTAACCCCCTTCCCAGACTCCCAGACACAGTAAAGGGAAAAAGCATACTGTCTCTAATAATAATACCGGGCGTCGAGATTACAACATTACCAAACGCTACCCGGCTTGCACGCGCTGCAAAGACACGTCAATTCGGCAAGCCTCCCGGTTGCAGATCCACCCGCCCCCCTCATCAGTCAGCGATCCGGTCCTGTGGGCACGCACGGCGTCTCCCTCTTGGTGGGGGGGTGTGTCGCTGGAGATCTCGACCCTGCTTGCGGCTTGAATCCTTGAATTCCACCTCGAGACACCCCTCAACACACACCTCTCCCATGTCGAAGCCAAGCACCGGCCACAGTCCCTCAGGTACGTAACTTCGATAACTAAAATGGTCGGCCGTGTGGAGCAGCGCGAGTGTCCTCCGGATCGACCCCAGAGAACGACTCGTTAATCGAGATGCGATTCCCCATTGGTAGTCTTCATGTACACCATCTCCCCCAGCTGCATCCTTCCCTTCCCACGTTTGCCAACCTGCGCTGTCTTGCACTAGCATTTCGGCCCTTGTTGTCTAGGATACCTGGCCGAGACGTGCGTCTCTTGTCTCCTTCTGAGAAACATCAACTGCTTCCCTACTCTACACCTTACTGGTTCCAAACTGCTGCCCGCCCAAACGAGACAGAGGCAGTTGCGGACAGAGCTGCCGTCGAGGTCAGCATCCGTTGGGTGAGGGTGAGGGATCGCCGCTCGCGATATATTTGTGTAAGTGAGCAACCTGGTCCCGGCCCGCTCCTGGAAGACGGCGGTCCCCTGTCTTGGACAATCCCGTTTCTCCAAAAACTCTTCTATCGCCAGCCCCAAACGGACAAAGGCCTCAGCGCTCACTGCCCTCTCCCCGGATAGACCTGTACGCATCGGCGGAGGGCTGGTATGCGCCCAAGTGCAAATCGAATCATACCTTTCCAGCACAGCTTCCGTTCCTCGGGGCTTTAAGGACAGCCGCACCGGCCAGTTGGTCAGAGCGGAAGGTGCCAGTTGGTCCGAGTGGAAGGTCTGCTCGAGTTCTTGGACCCTCCGCCGCTTCAAGTCTAGGTATATGATCCCCGCTCGTGTGGTTGAGCGAGTCGTCCATCCCAGTCCGCACACAACCCTAATCGGCGACTCGCGGTCAAGTCCTCTTCGACCTTGGTCAAAGTTTCGTTATCCCCACTTTTGAGTCGCAAGTCCAGATCTCCATAGCAAGCGGTATCCTTGCGAAAGCATCTTTCCGTCGGGGTTTGGAGCTTAGATAGACCCATCCATCCGTCAGTTCTGCGCCAGTCATCGACTCTGAGAAAAAGCACGCACGGAAACCAAGACGACGACGTTCCAGGCCAACAACAACCCTCCCACGCGGCGGTCTGTCTTCTACGGAAACCCGCCTACACTTGGCACGAGAGAGAAATCAGGCGTACGTACTAGCAGACCTGCACCGACGGTTTCGCCTCCCCGCGACGCCCGCTGCGTTTTCGCCTTGACCGTTTTGGAGCGGACCCCCGCTCAGCTTTCGCACCAAAATCGACAACCACGCAACGCATCGAGTTTTTGTTTGCGACTTTATCGACATCAGGAAGTTCCAGGGGCCGTCCATTTTGTGACCAGATCGCCGAGAAATCCGGTTTCTGCATCGCGGCCCTGCTCCACTCGTAGCGGGATACTGGGTGGACTGGGCGTTTTCGGTTGCCGGGTACTAGTTCTAGGACTTGGGGGGAATGGACGACAACAGGGGCCAGCGGAGGCAGAATGAACCGCCCATCTACTCCGCTTCCAGTTCGCGGCACAACCCATCGCTCCAAGAGCAGCCGCAGCCACGGCGACCCTTCCCGGGCGCTCAGGGGGACAGGTTTCGACCGCCGCCCCTCAGCACATCGCCGTCAGGGTCATCGCGAGGGATAGGCAGCTCGACCGGCTACGGTGGTTATTATCCAGATACATCGACGACAGGCTTCCCGACAGCGGCGATACCTCAGGGTGGGATGAGCTACCACCAGTCCACAACCGACTACGGGCAAGCGGATTCGCGACCGAGCCAAAGTTTTGGCAGCACGTACACCCCGGGAATGATGTACAACGTGCAGCAAACGGGAGGGCCACAGGCCGCTGCCGTGTACGATGCGGGCCAGCAGTTTTCATCGCGGCAGGCTGCAGGACTGCCGATGATGGCGACGGATGTCACGGGTGCCTACTTCCAAAACGAGCCAACCAACGCAGCAACCACGTCCAGCCTGCAAGCGCAGACGGGGTCTTCGAGCACGCCCCAGGTATATCAGCAGCCGGGCATGCATGGCTATTCCACCGGTAGCATAGCTACGATTGGAGGGATGGCTGCGCAAACGACTCCTGCTACCGACGTGAGGATGAGCGCAGAGTACCCTCCTGGCACGGCAGCCGACGCCTCGTACATCGATTACCAAGCGGCGCTGAAGGGAATTTTCCAGGATATTCAAAACGGCGTGCTCGCACCAGCTAGTGATGCCCTCCTGCAGATTTCCGACTGGCTCTTGACGCATGTGGTGGAATTGGGTATGTTGGCAGACGCTGCCGCTCTTCTCCCCCGTACAGATGGTCGGAGCACAGACTGACGAATTCACTCCGTTCTAGGCCTCACTTCTGACAACCAGGATCTGCACAGCGAGAGGGTCAAACTGTGGGACGATTTCAACCATGCCTGGCTGGCTATGTTCCAGCGCCAGAAGGAGATGATGGAGTCGGGGCAGCAACTGCAGAAACCACAATGCCTTGTCCCCCCGGAAGGCCTCCGGAAGATGGGCAAGGATCTCGTGAAGCATTGTGATAGCATCGAGCGACACGGCCTCGTCGACTACCAATTCGGAGTTTGGGAAGAGCGTATCGTCGAGAGTAGGTTCTTACCTCACCCATGCCTCTCATGCGCATTGCTAACAATATGGCGGCAGTCTTGGAGGAGTGCCTAGATCTCTATGAGAAAGCCAACACATCCGGAAGTGGCGGCGAGGGGAGCTCAAATGAACGCCACCGCTAACACGCACTGGGTACTCAATGGGATTGTAATCGCCAGTCCTCCAAAGCTTGCACCGCGTCCCAACTTGACCTAAGATCCGCCCCCTACCCTTTTTTTCGGCTTGTTTTGCTCGT